ACCTCTTTAAATCGTGTTACGAACGTTGAATTGGTTTCACTTCCTACTCAGAAATCCTATTACAAGCAAACTAGACAATTCGCTAATATACGAAGCCTACTCAAGACCCTATAAAACCTTAAAAAAAAACGAAAGGGGCTCTAATAGCTTCGATAATAAAAGGAAGATAGCCAGTTGTATATAACAATACTGTTTCTAGCACTATATTTTATTTTATAATCACACATAATCTCATACTCTCAGCTCTTTTCCGAATCGCCTCCATTTGTCAGTTGTATGTCCACTCACACCTTGCTAAAGCTTATTTTCTTTAACCTATTAAAATGCTCTTTCTTAACAAATACCTTAATAAAAGAAAATTAGACTGAGTAATCATACCTTAAACATTCCTACATGAATATTGGCTACTCTGCCTCTCGTGTTTTCTTTTACTTCCTCCCTCTTTCAGCCCCCTTGAGATATGGAACAGGTTACTTCATCCTGCACCATCCTTAAAGCCTTGGATATCCCAAAGGGATATAAGGTTGCGATTTCTAAAAGCTCATACCTTCAATGGACCTATTCTTGACCGTCAGTCGCACATTCGCAACGCAACTTTCGTGAAGCGCGCCAACTATAGTACTGATTAAAACAATCTACATTCATGTCTTATAAATTTTCAACCCAGCTATGTAATTTAATACAGTGTATATTGTAACATTTGTATCAATTTGATCTTGCCTGTAAACTGGCATGCCTCATGTAACAAACTGTTATTTGAGAATAAATTATTATTATTATTATTATTATTAGAATATTAATACGGTATTGCTGAAAATCCCATGGACCCCCTACCTCCATCAAAACAAATATGTCTGTATTTGCTGCATATAGCAATTCTATTATTCAAAAGTAAGATATAACAGTTAGAATTAGAGTAAAATGGAAGTATACTGCAGATGCACGTGGTACATGTCTTCATCGATTAACTGAAATAGAGAATACGGACTTTAGCTTAACAGGCTTATTTAGAAAGACTAGTGTCTAATTTGAACTTACTGCGTGAGAAAGTTATACTGGAACTACGAATGTTGTAGAAATAGAGTTTTTCGGGGCGTACGAAGCACTCAGACTGTAAGACAGTTATCCAAAAGTAATTCGAGTATGAAGGTGAAAATTTGCAGGTACTTTTCATCGTAAGGATGAACATATTAGGTACCAGTTGACATCATACCGTAAGAAAACACAAATTTGCGAGTGGTGAAATATGATCTATAAAAAGTGAGCTTAATAACAGTTAATTACCTTTTTACTCCTTGCTCATGACCCTTCGGCTTCTTTTTATGGCCAAAACAGCAAACATACACTAGACACTGGTAGCAGATTTCCGGCTTTTCAATGTTAAGCTTGCTTTAACGCACTGAGTAATGAGTAAAACCCCTCTATTACTGTTATATGGCATATTTTTCATGACAAACCCTCTGCAATAGATTGGTAGCATCTGTGACTTCATCTATACTTGTCGGAAGTCTGGGTCCTTTCGAAATCAGTACCGATATATCCTTCTGCTGGGCACTCTATTAGTTTGACTCGTAGGTGGGATAGTGTTGCCCATAATACTGAAGAAAATTAAAAAAAACACAGATTGGTTCCTTTCATTTTGCCGATAACATCATAAAGAACAGTTAGGAACGAACATGCGAACAGTTAGAGTCACAGGCGTCGGCAACAATTATTTAGCTAAATAAAATCGAACTTCGGCTTCGGAGATCTAGAAAACAAGGTAAAACATAACCGATTGTCGTTTAAAAACGTAAGGTCTTATGTTAGTACTAGCCAGCTTAGCTGAATAGATACAGTGACTTCATTAGCAGCAGGTAAAACCCAGAAACAAAGCAAAATCAGGAAAAATTGTGCTCCAAATTTCGGAGTATTACACTAAATTCTGGATTTTAGCACACTGAAACATCAAATTCTGTAGCTACACAGAAGAAATAGCGGAAAACACACAGAACGAAGAAAGCCGGCCGACATTTTAAACACAAGACTAGCCAGATTGCCCGAAGAAATACATTGACTTGAGTAGTAGCAGCAAAAACCCAGAAAGCATCGCTGATTCGAAATAAACTTCACACCAATATATAGAACATTAAACTAACTGCGGCATTTTAGCACACTGAGACATTAAATTACATAGCTACACAAAAGAAATAGCTGAACGAAGTACAGAACGACGAAAGCCGACCGCCATTGCTTACAAAGATGGCGGATGTAATAATTCCCGCCTCATTCTGATTGGTTGCTAAGCTGAAGGGCACATTTACGAAATTGAGTTGCGTTTAATTGCAGCCAAAAAATGCATGGTGTTTACAGCACATTTTCCTGGATGGAAGTTCACGACCAGCAGCCCATTTGGTGATATTGCTTGTTTCGTGAAAGGGCTCGTGAGAGAGAACTTCTAGAAGTAATGTGGCGTTGACTCTTACTCATCTTGATTATTCTTTAAAATTTGGAGATACAACCCTGTAGGTATTTATACTGAGGATTCATGGGTGAGTTCTTGTTATGTAATTGAAGTACTTGAACATTCCCTAAGGGTGCAAACTAGCAATTTTGGTAGGCTAAGATTTGTCCTTTGTCCTAACGACTCGGATCGTGATGATAAATTTATTTCGTAATAACTTACAGAGCAGTATAAACACATCTGTGTCGAGCCGAATATCTCTGAACGTTGACAAATTGAAAACCGGCATTACTATGTTTGAAAAAATATTTTGACATTCGTCGTTCATAGTTGTCTTCAGATTGTTTCTCAATACTACTAACTAAAATTAGATTCACAGCCTATATAGTTAGCGCAGTTTTTCAGTAGTAGATATGTCCTCAGTGGAACCAAAACAAATATCTAAAGACGACTTGCATGAGGGGCTATCTGAATTCACTTTCTGTGCCATTTTGCAAAGTTTGTGTGCTTTCTGCGTTTTATATAATCTGAATAACCACAATCCGACTAATGTGGTTCACTTTTAATGAAATTCAATGGGATGCAATAGATAGAGGTAGAATAATGTGTTTTCAGCTTTTCATCTCCAGATCCTAAACTGCCATCTAGAACCCATGGAGTATATGTTAGTATGATGTGTGGATATCGACTTGCTAGACACGCACAAACAGCCAAATTATTAAGAACATTGGATCGCACATTTAAGTCAGCTAATCGTTGACTTTATTGTGCTCTTGAGCTAATATCTCTACATTAGGCAGGCGAAGCTCGTACGACCTTTGTTGCGTCGACGTTTGGTTTTACAGACGTATCCCACAATTCCCGACTTTCGGTACTTCCTGTTTGTTATTCGCGCTATTGATATTTCCCTTTCAGAACTTCTGTTTATAGATTGCTAGTCACCAACTATACTTTTGAGTCTACTATGATTGTTTTCTTTAAACCTGAGGCTTTATCGGTGCTGAAGCCTAAGACGTTTTCACAATGTCAGTTCCTTTGTCTCGTCTCTTGGTTGATAATAATCTGTCGGAAATTTCAGCTCTGTTCGGAGGCTCGAAAGCCACAAGCAGTAGAAGCGCCGTGGAGCACGATATCTTGCATAATCAACATGATTTTAACTACCAATAAGATGAATATGCAGCTGAGCCAAGTCCAGTATACAGTGCTGAATTTCCTCTGCATTCCATCCTCGACCAGAAAGACACATGTGTTCACTGCAATGTTTTTTCGAAACAGTTATTCAGATAAGTAGACACCGACAAAACACTGCAAAAAACGAGAAGTACTTGAAACTGGGACGTATTTGCACTCACTGGCTCCCATCTTAGCAGACTGCGCGCTTATTAAAATTTCCAAATATGACGCACTCAATTGTACTCGTTTAGTTCTGTCTGCCTGGAATGGCACTATATCGAAATTTCTTACTTAGAATGTCAGTCTAAATCCTTCTACATGTCGCATTTTCTCAAGGAAGTCAGAATATACACTGATCAAATATTTTCATATCCTACTAACGAAACAGTGCGATTATACAGCTTCACAAGTGAGCAACTTGACCGAAGGTGCGTGACCCACTCGATGTTTCACGTATACTTATAAAAGGTCTTCAGGTGGAAACTTATGTGAAAGTAGACGACATCACTTTTATGGAAGTTTAACTGAAAATGTCGGATAAGAGATTGTTTTACATATTCGGGACGATCGAAACTATATATTTTACTGATGGAGGATAATTGGGACTAACATCTTAACCCTAACAATGAAAGTGAAGTCTGTGAAAACGACTTATACACTTAATCTTGAGAAGAAGTACCTTTTTTATTTCACTCTTTTGGACAAAACGTAATGTGCAATGAAGAAGGCTAGTTTCTGAATACAATACTTTAATTTATTTACTGCCTACAGTTGTTCCTGAATAATTCAAGGTTTTGTAGGCGATCAAAATTCATGACATTATTTAGTGAAAGACGTAGGTTTCCGTTGTAGGTGATTAGTGAGTAAATTCCGACGCCCGCGTTTCAATGAAACAATCGCCAGCTTCATTCAGACTGACCGCTCCTAGTCATTTAAAGGTCATCAGTGTAGTTTAGGCAGAACACTCGTCCTTGAAGTCGTTGACCAGTGGAATTAAATGTGTGGTAGGTACAAACTGCCTGGTTTGGATTCGCAAGGTTATCATAAACAATGTTTAGAGACATATGCAGGTGTACTCATAGAGCTCCTTATTCCTACAAACTGCTTTCAGCGCACACAAACTAGACTCGGTGCATTTCCGTTAGAATACGAACGTTAAGATTCAAATTGATAATTATCTGATATTCTATATCAACAAACCTACTCAAATAAGTCACAGAGAAAGAAAACAATTTTGAAATATAAAATCTCAGCTGAGTAATATTGACAACATATTACAATAAACGAGTGACCTAAAAAGTATGTAAATATAAATCATATTGTCAGTTGTACTATTTACAGCATTTACTTGTTGATACACCGACATTAAATAACTAGGGTGTAGGTAATTTTGAAGAACTTCAATTCGTTTTCAGAATAATTAAAGTAGAATAAAGAACTTATATAATCCTAAGTAAGTAAATATACAAAAAAAGATATTTCATAAATCCGAAAGGATACTTTCACAATTGAAATTAGGAAAGAAGAATTTTATTTCTTTGAATGCATTTTCTTGTGAATCTGATAATATAAAGAAGAAAGAAAAAACACCAAATGAAGCCAAATCATCACAATAAATGTAAATGAACTAAGTGACGTCTAAAAGAATGTGATCAATTCTGATCTTTATGATCAAAAGTTGTCAGTAAATCTAGCTGTATAACATTAATTAAGAAGACATTCTTGTTTCAAGAACAATTGCCGCATTTTCGTCTAAATATAGCCTTCAACCAAACGAAAAATTGACAAACACAATCTATGAGCTTATAAAACTTGTTATGCAGTATTCGTTATACAAATTGTCATTTCATTTACGGTAAAATCATTATTCGATTCATCCGTTTTTCATTCGACCAGCTTTTGTGAACTGATACAAAATATTCAGATGCTTCATAGTTATTGAGTAACCGTTTTTTTAAATCAATTTCAACTTCTAAACAAATACCACCTCATTGATCTCTCATATTTTTAAATGATCTGAAACTGTTCAAATCTGTCTCTAGTTCGAAGTCATGAAACTTATAAATGTTGCAGAACAAATCAGTCAGTCAGTAACAACGTAGAACTTCGTACGTACATACATCAGTTCGAGTTGCCACACCACATTAGCACAGAGATGCAATTGTCGATTCAAATCCGTAGTGGTAGAACTAGTAAAAGTATAAGCAATAATCGGAAACATTAGGGTTTGAAGATGTTATTCAAGGAATATAATACAGTGAAATTAATTTGGAAAGAGAAAAAAGAAAAAGATATGAAGAATTGAGAAGATTATACTTTGGGAGAACACAAACAGTGGATGCACCTGTGTCATTGCAGACGATTTTGAGCCATGTCATCCAGGGCCTCTAACCATCGGTTGCTATTATCTCGCGGATCCCAACCAGGTAGTCTACACCTACCAACATGGTTCAGTCCAATTGTCAGTGACTTCATGGACTTGCAGAACAAGTGACTTAATCTCTCTTAGCACCAATTTTCCCAGTAGATATTTTTAGTCCATTAAAGTAGAGAACAGTGTAATTGATGTATGATAGTGAAAGTAAAGTATGATTGGTCGTTGATCCTGGACAAACTTTCACAGCCTACAAACCATTAAATACGTGGTTTTCCATTATATTATTGATTTCGATTTTGGACTCACTGTATGTGATTGCTTGTAGTTGTATTGAATAAAGTATTTTCTAAAGCTAATCTGATTCCCTATTTTAGGTCTCGAATCCTGGGTTCTAGTATAACGTGATTAGTCTTATAAAAGTATTAAGGTATCATTGTAATATACGTCTAAGAAGAGGATAGATATTGTAAGCCATACGTTATAGCAGTAGTAACTTGTTAGACGACGTACAGTTCCAGTAAAAAAAACCAACAAACAATAGCATTTTGTATACTATGTAGCCAGCTGGGAGAGGCCCTAACAATATTTCAACCCATTTGGAATATAATAGTCCTTTGAAAAAGTCGAAGTTATATTTCTGAAATATGGTATATAATTTTCTTGGTTGGGACATTAATTAGTCATGCGTTTTCACAAAGAATAAGCGTTTACATTCAGTCAATTAAAATGATGACAAGTAAAGTCGATCAATAATTACAACAAGTACTTCAATATCCATAGGTTTAATGGTATATGTCAACAATTTGAAGGATAGGGTAGAGAATTGAAACAACAAAATTGTATAAATACTCAAGAAACACTGCATTTTGGAAAAGCTAAATCGAACGTAATGACGACAGTCCAAACAAACGTAATAATTCGTTCAGTACTAACGACTCATCAGACATGCGTGTGTTAGGGTAAGTATATCGTACCAACAAGAAATTAGTTATGACCCAGGTAATCCAGTCATAATGTTCTCAACCATAACATTGGGTGACGCAATACCTAAATGACACATGGAGCACCATTTACTTCGAGATTGCAAATTTGTTCTAGGGACGAGCGGCAACTACTTCGAAATATAAGTCCACTGTTAACAACTGACTTCCTCCATCTAAATAATTATTGGACAGTAGCAAAGTGCATATACACAGAGAGAATCACTGGGCTCGAGTCCTGGAGTGAACATCAACTCTGGGATGCAAGTACATTCGACTGACTGGTCGCAAATAGGACGAAGTGGCGCCCGTCTTCGATTCCACTGGTAGCCACCATCCATCTCTGAATATAATGATCAGTATGTTGCCGGAAATCCTGTTACCGAAATCACCTTGCGAAGAATCAACTATTTTACTAGAATACAAATATTTCGAGCTACCTATGTTCGACATGACTCAACCCCGTGCATTTCTCGACAGTCACCAAATATACATGACAGTATCATAACTAGTTATTACTTTAAGCCTTTAAGTCGTAATTTTGTGGTCTAGAAAAGGTTGAAAGTTAAAGGCATAGAATCACTGATCCTGGTTCGTCGAGAGAGAGAGAGAGAGAATGTAAAATAGAACCAATACAAACAGCAGTGAAAATAATAAAACAAAGTTTTGCGAAGTATAAGCTTGAAAAAAGCTTTAATTCAAGTTATATCGTTTAAATAATACTATCATAATTTATATCAACGTCTAACCTGATCCATGAAAACCATTTCTGGTATCTGTTAATCCAAACGACCACGTAAACTATTTGGTTCAAATACAACTGTCCTAAAAATTGATAAAATAAGAACTAAAGACACATAAAATGGACTTCATTTGGAGTTGTAAAAAGATGTGTTTGTCATGATATTGAAATAACGACAAAAATCGGGAAAAAGAATTGCCGAAACATTGATGACCCTTGGTGGTCCTACTGAAATACTTGGTCTTAAGTCTAGTCAGTTCATCGAGTGAGGTAGAAACCAAATTTGTTGGACCAAGAACGGTACATGTTGGTTGACATCTTCTAACAATACAAAAAATAGTAAATATGCTATGAAATCACCACTTACTGAACAATATCGAGATGCTTTACATAAGCTTAGAAAAGATTACACTCTGATTATAAGCAACCCAGACAAAGAAGGAAGGCTAGTTTTAATGAATGAAGCTGATAACATCGAAAAAATGTACTCAATTTTGGATGATCCGACTAAATTTAAATGACTCAACGACGTTAAGGATATAAATATGGAAGCAGAAAAACTACCGACTAATGCGCTTAAGGAATTAGAAAAATAAAGGAATAATTATTCCAACCATTTACGATTCACTTAAACTCATTATACCAAACACACAGCGACTCTACGGTTTACACGAAGTCCAGAAGACAGGACTTCCTGTTCGTCCAGTTTTGTATATGTATAATTCGTAATACCATAAAACTACAAAGTGGTCAGTCTGAATCCTAGGTCCGTTAAACAAACTAGTCGTCAACAGAAGCGTTAAAAACGTTCTCTATTTCATTTCCAAGGTGTGACATTCGAACTTAGTGGAAAACGGATGATATCTCTAGATGTTGCTTCCTTGTTCATCAATGTACCATTAACTGAGACGATTAACTTTGCGTCAACAACAACTTGAAAAAAAACACAGATAAGTATTGGAATTCCCGAGGTTAGTCTTGAAGAATTACTTCTAAAATGTACAATGAACGTCCATCTTGTATTTAATAACACATATTATAGACAAATTGTTAGAATAGTGATGGATTCACCTTTAGGTCCTATCCTTGCTGATTTTTCTCTTGCAAAACTAGAAAACGGACCTCTCAAGGAAGTTATAGACAAGTTTGACTTCTATTGTTATTACATTGATGATACTTTCATTTTCGTCAACCAGAACATCGGGAAAGAAGAACTTTCAAAGCTATTTAACAATAAACATTCAGCAGTCAAATTTACATGTGAAGAGGAACTTGATAATCAACTACATTTCCTTGACGTTTTAACAAACAGAAAAGTGGTTCTATCAATAGAAGTGTGTATAGGAAAAGTTCTTCATTTCTTTAGCTTTATACCCATTCATTGTAAGAGAAACCTAATTAGATGTCTCGCAAATAGAATTAGAAAGACATGCTCATTTGATACTATAAACAAGGAACTAGAGCTTATTCATAATATGTTGATTGAAATAGGTTATCCACAAGGTTTCCTGGGGAAACACTTGCATAGAACAAACAAGAAAGTGGAGACGTCAAATGCTAGTAAGAAACCGTTCTTCCTGAAGCTGCAATTCAACGGAGATATAACAGGTGATGTATTAAGGATAGACCAACTAGAGCAGTTAAGAGGACGTTTAATGCAGCTAACCTCTATGTATAGTACTTGACCCGATCTATAGTAATTCCTCAACGAAAGCACAAGTTACCTGGTCCTGCCGCATCTATATGTATCTACAAATTCAGCTTCCCTATGGAGAAAGTCATATTGGAAGCACTACCAGACAACTGAGCCAACAAGTTAGTAGCTCCCTTCTTGGCTAAGAAAGGGTACTATCAAAGCAATACCCAGCTCTGTTCTATCAAATTTGATCGATAGTGGTCAAGTAATAGATAGAAATAGATTATTCAAAGTTATTTATCGTATTACTACTAGTTTTCATTATGAGGTTCAATCTCGTCTCTTACATATAGTAGAAGCTAAAGAAATTTAAGCTATAATCCAAGTCTTTGTATTCATAAGAAACTTTATAATACTTTTATCACTTCCTTGACCGAATTAGCCCTTATAGTCAATATTATTTATAGTTATTTTCTATACTGATTGTTCGTTTATTTTTCTTCATCCCCTCCTATCCTTTTTCCCATCAAAATAGATGCATCATTGTCTAATTATCTGAACACTTTCTATTACATAATTTCATAGTTTTTATATATGTTATTTCAATATCTCATTTTTCAAGTCATTGGTCTATTAAATTAACTTGGTGTTGTTTTAATTATATCTTCCCATTGTTATTTAGGACTGAAATTGATCAGTATCTTATTGGCATATGTGCATCCTGTGCGGATTGCCTCGATATATGCCAACATGAGACTGATCAATTATAGTCCTAAATAACAATGGGAAGATACAAGTAAAACAACACCTAGTGAATTTAAACTTTACCACATTGCACAAGCAGGTGGCTATCAGGACTCAGTAACTAAGGGGATAACGCGATAGCGTCTGAAGTGAACGGTACCAGGTTCAAGTCGCAGAGTGAACATCACTCTGGGATGCAGGTACATCCAGCTGACGAGTCCCAAATAGGATGAAACGCACGTCCTGGATTCTACTGCTAGCCACTACCCATCACTGGTTTATTTCCTATTATGAAACATAGGTTCAAGTTTTTGTTATTCTTATCACAACTGTACACTCGACATCCTAGTATTAATTTGTACTTTTTACTTATTATGTTCATTTATGTAATCTATTCCACTATTATTAACTTCGCATGTAGCTCTTCTAGAGTTACCGCCTGTCCCAAGCCAGTGTAAAGGAGGAGGGTTGGGCAACTCCATCCCGTAAAAACTAACTCTCTAAAAAAACGCTAACCAAAGTTCTACTATTATTATCAGTGAATTATAAACTGCCTTGATTGATTTAATAAGTTCGTACATGCACTGCTTGAAATAATCACTAACTAAGAAAATGGCACGAATAATTTACACATTTTATGAAGAAATTAAGGAGTTAATGGTTTTTTTTTAATTTCAGGATCGTGGATACGCACTGCTGAGGAGTCACACAATAGGACGGAAAGGCCGTCCAGTGCTTCGAGTTTTTCCATAGTGGTCTAGCTTTAATGGACTCATAATCTCAATGATTGAAATTATTAAATATCCACAAAAACTTTTTTGATATTAGATATTAACTGATTTCCGTTAGAACAAGGTGAATATATGTTTTGAATTAAAATGACAGTATGTCTACGCTAAGCGATTACGTAATAGTAGTAATGAATTTTGTGTTCCTCTAGACCATAGTGCTAAATGAACTTGACTGATGCAAATGAAATATATCTTCCAAGTCTGTTTGATATTTGGTAATTGAAGGTAATAAGAAAAGAACTAGTATGCTAATGAAAACACTGGCTTATAGATGAGTTACTAAATACCACAGAATCTGAAACTTACTACCAATCGGTTTGAACAAGAGACAGAATATCAGTTGGTTGATTAATTTCTAAATATGATCATTAATTTACACCCTTATCATTAAACTTATTCATTGAAAAATGATCAACAATGGTTAATAGATCTGTGAATTAAACATTTTATGCAACTGTCTTGTCATGACAGAATCTCCATATTCATATTCTTTTATTATACCTCACGTTATAGATTGATCTTAGACAACCATTGAAAATCAATGAGCACTGGATTACGGTCTCGAACCAAGATCTTAATATATAACCTGTTGAAGCACCGTACAATAGTTTACATTTCCAACTTGAACTTTTGATAGAATGCAATCACATTCCAATGCTATAGTAAATAACTGGCTTGTATCCGACACACAACAACTTCCATAGTCACGCCTTCTAATTAGACTTCCAAGACTAATGTCTTAGAATTAGTCACCGATGAGCACATTATTATTATTATTGTTATTATTATTATTATTATTATTATTATTATTATTATTATTAACGTAAGGGTTTGTAGATATTGTGGATTAATGGAACGGCCGAGAGTGGGGAGAGTCCTCTCTCCCCCTCGAAATGCTCTCACATGGCCACCCGCATACAGCCTCTGCCAGGGAAGTCCTAATCACTGCCTTCTCGTGGCGGGGGTGTTGTTTACGAAAGTGAGAGGACGAAAAGCGAATGTCCGGCCCTTTAACCGGATTCCAAACCAATGATGCACATGGGCTCTAGTATCCTAAAGGAACAAATGGCGTATGAACCAGTTGTTGGTCACCGGCTACCATGCGATTGCATCTCCTTACGATGCTCCACTGCCTTGTGGATCAGACCTTCAGGTCGAAAGCTTCGAGTGTGGCCCCCTAAGAATACCACCTGCTTCGGTTTGGGCACCCGGGCAGTATCACAACCCTCACACATATCGAATGAGATTTGTGTGGCGCATATGTATTTGGTGCCTCTTTATACCAATATCTATGTGTTGAAATAATAAGGATTAATGGAATGGTAGCTAGGTGATTAAATCTTTCTACCTCAATCATCAAGTCGAATACTATGAAATTCCCTTACCTACATCAGTTGAACCAGCCTTAACATTCAAAAAGGGGTGGCTGAAAATCGATCAAGTGGAAGTTACGAGTGGGAAAAAAAAACATCTACTATTTAATGTAATGAGCTAAGAAGTGCAACCGCAAAAACTTTATACAGATATATGTCAACAACTAAATCATTCCATTTAAGAAAAGTATCAAACATATTTAAAAACACCAAGTTTACCGGTAAACTTTAGTGGGACCGAGCAATGAACGCCAAACAGATATTGCATTATTACCGGCAAGAATATACACTCCAAGTGGTCCGCTATAATATAGCAACAACATAAATGTGAATGTAGTCAGTCGAATAGTTGGTTACCGGTTTTACAAAGCATCACAACAACCAATTTACCCGGTAACTACTAGACTAAACGAGAAAAAACAATTCAGTAGTGATGTCAGTTTGGAGACGAATATTTATGAATAATGGAAAGTTATGCTTGGTGAAAGCCCTGAAATAATGTGTAGTATTCTGAATGCCCAGCGCAACAATACAAACATGTTAGGAATTTATTTCTCTTTTCCTCTCTCTTTCTAAGTGTAAAGTGTTGCCTCCGCCAATCCTGAACAAATGTTGAGCATATCGCGCAACAGTCAGCTCATTATTCCTCTATGGCTGTCAAACGTCACCCATGAGAATAGAAGGCATATATATTGGTTAGAAGGTTTTGACCACAGGTATCTACAATCCATTACTAGCATATTGTGGAACTAAATAGTGTTTCGTTCAGGTTAGACAAAATGAGAAATCAACTGATATAGTTGTGAACCTTTTTCAAATGTGATTGCGAGGTGTATTACCTAACCACAAACAGGAATAGACAGAAAAAAAACTACAGATAACCAAATCGAAACATGGTGGCGTCAGTCATAAATTATTGACTCCTAGACAGAACCATATTGTAAGATTCATACTATCTCATAGGTTCGCAAGGTAAGCGAAAACAACGGTTGGAGATATCTGGTAACAAAGATTGCAAATGGTCACACTAGTGAAGATGTATCCTTCGTTTATTTTCCTTTACGTATTAAGCTTGATTAGTAATTCGTAATTTGTTTTTCGATCGAATCTATCACATCATTTCAAATCATATATCAGCACCTTTAATCTTTCTAACTACAATTGACTATGCCATTATTTCAACTCACTTGTTATTCATTTCGTAATCCTAATGTGGTAATGGCAACATGAGCTAATACATAATTGTCTCAAACCATCAATTGATCAGAATTAGTCGAATGTCCCACAAAAACCCTGGTACGGACGAGGGTGGAGAGACTCCGTTCTCCTTTACCATATGCTCTCATATAGCCACGCCTATACAGCAACTTTCAGGGAAGTCCTACTCACTTCCTTCTCGTGGCGGGGATGTTTTTTTTTACCAAACACAGTTGGTGGATATTGAAGATTCACCTAGGAAATTTCGAAAAGCCTGATTCCGAACCAACGGTGAACATGGACTCCAGGATCCTGAAGGAACAAATGGTGTATAAACCAATCGTTAGTCACCGGCTACCATGAAGCTGTATCTTCTGACGTTGCCCCACTGCCTTGTGGATCAGACCTTTAGGTTGAAGGCTTCGAGTGTGGTCCCCTAAGAAAGCCACCTGCGTCGGTTTGGGCACCCGGACAATATCATAGCCCGTACACAAATCAAATGAATTGTTTGGCGAATGTGTATTCAGTGACCCTTTTTACCAATATTTAGGTTCTCAAATAAATAAATAATAAAGATTAGTCGAATGATCAACAATATACAGCAAAGTTGTTTGGTATTCAACAAAATGAGATCAAAGATAGTTGAATAATTGAGAAATAGATAAAAAAGTTTTTGAGAAAATCAATCATTTGATACAGCAAATCAATATTTTCAATTATAGTGAGAATCGTTATTATGAGTAAAATTTAAAGTGCTTCTGTTTAGACAATCGGGTAGTATATCCCAGCCTTCACAAACAAATCGAATGACGAAATGTGAAGCATATACATTTAGTGCCTTCTTGTACCAATTTTTATGTTGGACATTAACATCATTGAATGTCAACTCAGTGGTCTACAGGTTAAGCTTTCACGAGTAAGACCGATAGGTCCAAGGTTCGAATCCTACGAATGGGATCGTGGATAAGCACTGCTGAAGAGTCCCGTACAAAGACAAAATGGCAGTTCAGTACTTTCAGATTTTCCACAGTGCTCTAGCTTTAATTGACTGATAAATCCAACTATTAAATAAATAATAATAAAATTGAACTTACCAAATCATATGATTAACAAGTCGATCATAGAAAAATTTACCTAAAGTGAAAATTTATGATTACTATTTTTCAAAAAAGAAGTAAACTGGTTAATTTTGTTGGCAAATATTGAGTTTCAGTAGAAAGAAATTTAAATAATACAAATCAAAAAGAGAACAACATCAGTTTAATGATATTTAATCCATAGTAAATCTTATGATTAGGGAGGAAGAATGTTTGAGAACAACCCATGGGTGAACTCAAGGAAGCTCTGAAAGAGCCGAAGATATTCCATCCAATCATCTTATAGAAGAACATTCTAGAATCTTCATGTGTAGCTTCCCTAGTGAACAAATGCTAAAAACGGTGTATTTTTTTTAAAAAAACAAGTTTTCATTTAATTTGAAAATTCTGTCATCTTATTTAAAACTTGGAGGGTTCTAGCGTTCGAGTGCTCAAGCTATGTGCGGTATATCAAGAACCTAAGATCTAGATATAACCTAATACAATTGTAAAATCTCAGCGAATGAATTTGAAGTGAATTCAACGTTTCGTTTGGCAATCTGGTCCAAGGAAATAAGATCCAACATCGAACATCAGATGTTCAATGTTTGATCATATCTCCTCGAAAAATCTTGAACCAGATTGCCAAGTGAAATGTTAGGTTCACCTGTTAGTTCATTCGCTGAGATTTTAAAAATACATTCTTCCTCCTTAATGTCTCACATCAAATTGACGTTCAAAGGTTGTGAAATTACTCAATCGAATTTAGACGAAAGTTCTTATAAATCTTATGATTACTTTTTATCGCTGAAAATCGTCAATTCTTCGATATTATGGTTAGACATCAATTGACCACATTGTATCTTTGTATAACATTTATCCACCGAAGACAATGAAAGATAATTGCACAATGTGAGGACTAACGATACTACTAAAGAGTAGAGCAAAACAGAATTATATGGAAGAGAGATTTGAACCTATGACTGCGATGTTTAAAATACTTTTGTCAGTAAACCATCGCTCTATCCACATAGTTAATTGATTCTCAGTCAGTCAGTCAGTAACAACGTAGGATTTCGATTCTAGTGGAAATGATGTTGAAGACATTAAAGTAAATGAAAATATATTATTATTGGTAATGATAATAAATGCTCCTACTTACCTTTGTGTTCAGCGTAAAATACTTGAGCACGATCGCGCGTCATAAAAACCTCTTCATTATGAATAATTTGTAATTGTGCATCGGACATCAAAGATTCAACATACTAACGTTTGATTAAATTATATGAAATTTTTAAAAGTATGGATTTAATTAGTTTTATGAAATGATTAATCGAGAAATAATTTACTTGTCAATGATACTTATCAGTAAGCTGATAGGCATAAGATACTACTTTCCGTCACGCAATACCGCCCCTAAATGCCCGGTACGGCCGAGAGTGAAGAGTCCGCTCTCCTTGAAATGATCACACATGGCCACGCGTATATAGCCATTGTCAGGGAAGTTCTACTCACTGACTTCTCGCGGCATTACCGTTGTTCACGAAACTGAGAGGATGAAAAGCGAATGTCCGGCGCTTTAACCGGTTCGGTGGATACGGAAGATCCACCGAAGGGAGTTGGAAAACCACAATTCCAAACCAATGGTACACATGGGCTTCAGGTTACTAAGAGAAGAAATGGTGTATGAACCAATTTTTGGTCACCGGCTGCCATGGGACTGCATCTCCTTACGTTGCTCCACTACCTTGTGGATCACACCTATAGGTGAAACGTTCGGGGAGTGAAACCCAAGAAAACCACCTGATTCGACCTGGGCGCCCGGGTAGTATATTACCCCTCACACAAATCAAATGTGGCGTTTATCTATTCGGTGCCTGTTTGTACCAAGGTTTATACGTTTAAATAATAATAAACATGCAATACCACTTCGAGTCAAAAATTGATCAAACAAAATTTCAACAAAACCAGAAGCAAAAAAGTTGTACAATCATCCCTAATACATTAACTTTACTGAATATGTTCGAAGCTACAAACCACTTTCATTGGTATCAGTCTATTAACTGATTTGTAAAATTAGATTGATAAACGAAGTTGTTCTCTTACCAACTGTAATTCAGGACGTTAAATAGGAACTTCATACATCTTACCTATCAACTTTAGGTCATTCAAAGTTTATTGGTTATTTTATTTAGTAAAATAATTACCAATATTTCCAAACTATTAGTGAAGAATATATAAAGTTATATATAATTAAGAGGTATTTTGAAAATATATCAAGGCTTCATGTTATTAAACAATCAGATAGATTCTCTACTTCAAGCTTCGATTTATATTGTTACATCGACTGAAATCTCTAACTGGACAGTTCATCCTGCTATTGGACTAATCAAACTAATCCATTTAATGATCTGAACACATAAATATTGGTACAAAGAGTCACTGAATACATATGCGCCTCACAAGTTATCTGATTTTTGTGTGAGCTATGATACTGTTCGTGTGCCCAAACCGAAGCAGCTGGTTTACCTAGGGGACAACACCCGGAGCATTCAGCCTAAAAGTCTGATCCACAAGACACTGGGACCACGTTAGAAGATACAGTCGCATGGTAACCAGTGACTAACGATTGGTTTATACGCCATTTGTTCCCTCAGGATCCTGGAGTCCATGATCACCATTGGTTTGGAATTGTGGTTTTCCACCTTCCGCAGGTGGATTCTCCATATCCATTTAACTATACACCTACTATGGTGCGTGCTACTTATATTGATGTAAGTAGTATATGACGCGAGTTAAAAAGTAATGTCTGACAGCAGAAGATGGGAGAAGATCAAGAAAGGAAGAGCGCGAACACTATGCAATTTGTATGTAAACGCATGAACCATGGAATGGGAGACAATAGATTGATGTTTGCAACAGGGACAGTCCAGTTTGATATGATGGATTGATATTTTGCAAGTTGATGATTTAGTATATGGTATTCAGATTTTATTGAGATAGTCTGTAATTTTTGTGCTAAATACATTCGATTGTGCCCACCCGTGTTCTGTTCATTACACTACCACTATTGTAATATTAGGCTGTCTAAAGTGTGCATAAATAGATGCATTAATTCTAGGTAGTTATTCCTCATAATCAAACGACAAATATTATTTTCCGATTTTCCTACATCTCAACAAAGGATGAATTACTAAGGATGAACTGTTTTTCAATTTCTACAGTTGGATCCGATTCTATCACTAGCAACGTAAAGATGATGTAATCATTAAAATATCTTAGATTTTTATGACAATAAATGATTTTAAAAGTTGAATTCATGACTCGATGTAAGCTAGATCACCATAGAGAACCTGGAATTATTGGATTTAAATAGAGCAAAAACAAACATTGATACAGAATAGTATGAATTCATATTATTTCGAGGTTCCTCGTCAGCTGCTTACAAACCAAAATTGTGATAGATTTTTTTACATGGAGGTAGTGTGAAACAATTGACATAAATGAGTCTAAATAACTGTAATCCAGTTCATAAAGGGAACTAATTGCATGAAATTATTGGATTGCCGTTTCATCCTAATATGGCACTCCTCAACAGTACGCGTCCGCGATCTTGCACGCAAGACCAACTATTAAAACTACTACAATCTCCACAAAAACAAATAAAATTACACTTTCTGTAAATAAGGATATAAGTGTTGTTTAAATGATGGATTAACACTCAGTATGAAATAAAACAATTCCGCCTGTAACTCTTCTAGGGCTATTACCAGTCTGCATTCCGTATAATGTACGAGGGTTAAGGGTACGGGGTCGGCAACCTCATCCCGTTAAAAAATAACCTTGCTCAAAAAGAAAAAATCTATAAATTAACTTACTTTACGATAATTTATAAAACGTTGAACATCTGGTTTCAATATTGCCAATGTTAATTGTTTCATTGACATATTGAACACTATGATCTAAAGAGTTTAAAAAAACCCCGCAAAGTATAATTATTACCATCATCATTCTAATTGAAGAATAGTATTGAAATGGATCTGAGAAATTAATTGATACATTGAAATGGGATATGATTAGCTTGAAAGAACTCAGTAAAATCATATTGTGGAGATAATATGACGAGAAAAAAGTGTAAATTATTATGATCAGAAGGGATTTTTATAGAGATTATAGTAATTTTAATAGGTGAGATCATGAGTCGATTGAAGCTAGACCATCATGGAAAACCTCGAAGCATTGGGACTCCTCAGTAATGCGCACCAACGACTCCGACTCGCGAGATTCGAACCCAGGACCTATTAGTCTTGCATGTAAGCACTTAACTACTACTAGACCACTGAGTCAGCACCCAATAGTATTATTGTCTAACTTCAACTAATCCACGAAATTAAGTGACACATCTACCATTGTCATCGGTGAGTTACTATCTCACAACAGACCCGGTTGAACTCCACTGGTCACTGCTTATCACTTGAACTCCAAGATATATCTCTTGAAGCCAGTCACTAGTGAGCATATGTTGATTAATATCAGAAGGGATTTTTGTGGATATTCTAGTAATTTTAATAATTGAGATCATGAGTCAATTATTATTAGCTTTATTCAATATTTTATTTTAAGTACAATATAGAATTCTCGACACAAAGTATTTCAACAAGTTTCCTTTTCTTATTTCTTGATCTATCCTTGCGATAAATATCGAGTAGTCGCCAGTTAGATGTAAGCAGTTCACGAATCCATATCTGATTAATTTATACTCTTTTCCATGTATATTGCCAGCAACCACAATGTCTGTGATTGGGCTCTTTCGTAACTTCTATGGTGAAAGGTTATGAACTTTTCATAAATACATTTGAATAGGTTATGCAGTTAATTGATATAATGATCTGTTGAAACAAACAAGGAAACAGATCCTTTATTGAAATATCTACATAGCAGGAACAAGTAGACCAGACATTCAAGCAGGTTACCTAGTTGATTGACAAAATATTTTTTGTCAATCGATCACTCCTTATATTCAAAAGATTCCAAAAGCTAATCAATTAACCAAAAATAACCTGAAATCCAAACAGATTTCCATACTGATAATGTTGACTAGAAAGACGATAAAAGCCAAGGTTAAATAAACTAGCTCCATTAAAATCTTCCTTATGAGGTATAAATCTTACACTAACACTATGTGTTAATACGTATTCAAATCAACTTCACAATCATATTCAACCTTTACGTAAGAAGCAGTTGATAAAAACTTGTATTATCAAATTAGTTTGATTAAATCGTTATTTCTATTCTTTTCAAATGAATAAACAAAACGATTTGGGTACAAACAACCAAAAAATCACTAAGCATAAGTTTATTTCTAGAAAATAACTGCAACAATTTCAACGGCTTGCTTTAAAATGAATCCATATAGTTTCAATTAGGAGTACATTTCAGAAAGTGGATCGTTACCAACTGATGGAATAAAGTGATGACAGAGTCACATTATAAATTGATTAACGTTCTAGATTAGTCTGAAGGTAATGTACCTGTTGCAACATTTAAAGATTACCTGTTTGATTCTTGATGATATCACAGATATATTCTGTAGAAACGCTCACTTCAAATAGATTAAGACGAAACAATTGTCCAATGATTTCTGAACACTATCAATACTTCTTCAACTGTTATCAGCAAATGATACAAACAATCAACATAAGTAGAAATAATTCGAAATTATTATTGATCAATAGACATAAAAGAACTCATTTACATTTCAATCTCAATGATTGACATTTCAAGAAGGAATACGAAAGAAGAAAAACAAACAAATGATCACATTAAATGATTTATTAAAGATAACTTATTACACGTTATCATTCAATGAAACAATCACCACACGTACATGTAAACATACAGGGATGATTTATGATTATTTCAAAAATGATAACAATTTGAAGTTAGTACACACTATATATAAATGAACACAGTAGGTAATAATGCAATTAATTAATCAACCAATCAAATTATAAATGAAATAAAAAACGATAAAATCAACACCCCTTAGCACAACCGACGATGGGTGGGAGAGTTATTTCTCCCTCTCCAAATGCTCTCACATGGACATGAGCATACAGCCATTGTCAGGGGAGGCCTACCCACTGACTTCTCGCAACGCCGGTGTTGTTTACTAAATTGACACAACAAAAAGCGGATGTCCGGCCCCTTAACCCGGTTAGTGGACACAGAGGGCTCACCTAGGGGAGTTGGAAAACCACAATTTCAAACCAATGGTGAACATGGGCTTCAGGTTCCTAAGGTAAGAAATGGTTTATGAATCAATCGTTGGTTACAGGCTATCAAGGGACTGCATTTCCTTGAATTGCTCCACTGCCTTGTAGATTAGACACTTAGGTCAAAGGCTCGGGGATTGACCTCCTAAGAAAACCACCTGCTTCGGTTTGGGCACCCGGGCAGTATCATAGGCCACACACAAATCAAGTGACTTGTGAGGTGCATATGTATTCAGTGACCCTTTGTACCAATATTTATACGTCGAAATAAATAAATAATACTAACTACTACTACTACTACTACAGTGTCTGTGTATACCACAAATATTGAGATATTTTTAAAGCGAATGCAAATAACAAGTAAAGGTCTATTGGAATACAATGATTATAATTGAAACAAACCGTCTATGATGGAAGTAATACCGTGTTTTTACATACTAGAAAATAACAGCCCCTTATATAAAACTGAATTAACGAAAACCAAATTATCATAAGACTGTAATTTCAATCATCGAGTGCTTTGGTCGAATGCTTATTATTACATTCCATGTGATATTGAAAGTGATTGGTTTCAATACTGTGATTATTGAAGAGTTTTTTTTTATATTCAATAAGTCACAGTCAACGTAAGATCTCAAATGAATGTGTATTGGTTGAAATTGGTACACTTCAAATCGGCACAGAAAACACGGAAGTTAGCAAAATGAGAAGCAAGAAACAGGAATTAATTTTAAAACCAGAAATTTAAACATAAGAAATACATATTTCAGCAAAATTACGTAGTAATTAACGATGGAATATAAGACGACGGTTTCGTCCTATTTAGGATTTGTCAATGGGATGTATATGTACCCTAATGCTGATACTCAGGGTCTCGAACTCAATGCCTTCCATTTTCACATGATTAATAAGTTATCCACTTAGCTAGTGAATCCATGCAGTGACTGACTTGTGCAACAAGAAAGAATCTTATTCGATTTGTAAGTGTTTGAATCTTCCCGTTTATAAGGACTGAAATTAATTAGTCTCTCTTGGCGTATGTGCATGCTAAATGGATCAGATCGATATTGACATCAAATCGAAACCATAAGAAACATGGTTCAAAAAAGGAACTAATAAGATTAATGAACGAAAAATTTAACTGGAAGATTGAAAGAAAAGATATTAAATCCAAACGAGTTTTGTGTCATAACATTCAATGTTTCTAACGAAAGATAACGGCTAATTTAAGGAGCTCAACAATGAATTTTATAAACTTCTGATAGTACAAACTAACAGTCAATAACTTTATGTATTGATTGATACAGTAGTAATTTAATAATTGAATTCATGAGTCAATAGATGCTAGACCATCATAGAAAATCTCGAAGCATTGGACGACCGTTTCATCCCAGTAAGGGATTCCTCAACAATGCGTATCCACAATCCCACCTGGCGAGATTCGAATCCACAACATATCAGTCTCGCATGCGAACGCTTAACCTCTAAACCATTAAATTGACATCCAATAGTGTTTCTGTCTAATTTCAATCAATTCACAATACAGTAGAGTATTGATCATTCAAAGATAATTTATATCATAATACATGTATTATTTTGTGATAACCGAAGTTACTTATATTGTTTTTCTTTCACATACACACTATCATTTCATGCCTTATTTCAATAAACATTATCAAATGTACAACAAATTCACAGACATAGGGGGGGGTAAGAATATAGAAATTAGAAGTTTTCTTCAAATAAACAAAATAATCACTTAGTTACTAATTTAAATGAAAAATGATATAACCAAATTAATAAATGCCGAGATCTCGTTAAGAATTTCATTTACAAACAAGGATGAAATGATTACAACAATTGATCATCAGGATATGATGATGATGATGATGATGTTAACGAGAATGATGTGGTTGTTGTTGTTGTTTTTGGTGCTGATGTTAATGATGATGATGTTGATGACGGACACTGGTTCGATGACAGAATTTCACCTAAGATTGGAATAGTCAAGTTTTCTGATAAATCCGGCAATAAAGATGTATACTGGAAATGAAAATAAAAAGATAACAAATACTTGAATATAAACAAAATTCATTTACAGCTATAAATTATTTATTGTGTAACAGGTTTTTATAACTACCCTTCTCACTTAAATATCGACATTTTAACAGTAGGATGATAAAATCATTGAACCTATTTTCTAAACGCTACAAGCCCCTAAATGGCTTGGTATGGCGGAGAGTGGGAAGATTCAGCTCTCCGTCTCCAAGTGCACTCATATGTTTACGCTTATACAACTGCCAGGGAAGTCCTACTCATTGCCTTCTCGTGGCGGGGGTAATGTTTACGAAAGTGAGAGGATAAAAAGCGAATGTCCTGCCCTTTACCAGATTCCAAACCAATGGTACACATGGGCTCTAGTATCCTGAAGGAACAAATGGCGTATGAACCAATTTATTGTCCACTGGCTACCAGGGGACTGCATCTCCTCACGATGCCCCACTGCCTTGTGGATCAGACCTTTAGGTCGAAGGCTCCGGGTGTGGTCCCTAACAAAAACAACTGCTTCGGTTTGGACACCCGGGCAGTATCCTTACCCTCACACAAATCGAATGATTTATGTGGCGCTTATAATTCTTGTGGCTGAAAGCAATATCGAGGCAATCTGCACAGTACGCACATGTGCCAAAAAGAGACTAATCAATTGAGGTCCTGAATGTCAATGGGAAGGTACAAACAATCAATACAAATAAGGTCATTTTAATATGCAAGTAGTGTTCCACACGAACTGCCCTGTCTGGAGCCACTCTGGGGCTACCGCCAGTCTCAATCGCGGATAAAGTAGGAGAGTTGTGCATGGGGTTAGCGACCCCATCCATTAGAAAACTAACTCGCTAAAAAATTACCAACCATTCCTCAGGAATCGATCACAACTGGCGTGCTATTGAAAACTAGAAAGCACTGAACATATACTGAACCTAAAATTCTTAATTTAAATCTCCGAGAGTTTAATCAGTGTCCAGTGTTGAATAGTCCTGCATTCACACAACACGATCATTCACTTGCTTCTTTGTTATCCTCCATGATATTCCACCCAACTGCCTTATTTTCCATCCCCTACTGATATTATCATTTAGAGTTATTTGATTTTAATTCTATTAATTCATTTCATAAGGTTGTGAGTGCATTAAACTGTAACAAATTTGATTGATAAACATTTGTAGTGATTCATATCAGAAGGGTTATTGTGGAAATTATAATAAATTCAATAGTTGAAATCACGAGTCAATTGAAGCTAGACCATCATGGAAAACCTCGAAGCATTGGATGACTGTTTCATCATCCTAGTAAGGGACTATTCCTCAGCAATGTGCATCGACGACCCCATCTCATGAGATTCGAATCTAGGACCTATCAGTTCGCACTGGAGTGCTTAACCACTAGACCACTATAGTGATGACAAAAGACAACAATATAAAACAATTATATAGTTACTTGTGATATACGTTGTAAACCATTTTCTAATTTTTCATTAGCTAATAATAATCTTTTTAAATTATTCACAGCTTGATGGATGTTTTCAAAAGATTGAGTAGTAGCGGTAGTATTAGTAGTGGTGGTGGTAGTAGTATCTTGTTCAGTATTTTCATTATTCAATGATTGATAAGATTGTAGTTTCAAGTTCATATAGACTGGTATTAATTGAGATAATTTTTCATGGAATTGTTGAATCTTCTTAGATGATTCTTTCATTTTATCGATCTAATTAGTGTAAAGAAAAAAAAAGAAAAATAACAAAAACGAATAACTTACACATATGTAATTGAGTATAAAGGATAAAGTGTAAGTGAATAAATAAATTGTAATTAATGAAATGAGATAGTGCGGTGTGTGCTACTTATATTGACATAAGTAGTATATGATGTTAGTCGTAAACAGAAGGTCTGACAGCAAAGAGACAAGAGAATCGAACAGTAAAGAATGGAAAACAGAATGTAATTTGTATGAAAATGCAAGAACAATGAATTCTGAATCATTTTGAGACAATCGATGGACATTTTGCAAATTGAGCATTCACTATTTGATTGTTAGGTATATTCGATTGTCCCGACCCGTGTTCAGTTCACTACTATATGAGTAGATGAGAAATAAAGTTATAACTCTACATAATGTACTCATGAAAGAGATGAAAGGTTGATGCATTTTTTTGTTTTCATAGGCTACGAGTGTAAACAATGCATATGTTTACATTGCATCATCTCAAGATCGAACGGTAGGCGAGAAATTATAAACGAAGTAAATAAGTAGACCATGTACCTATTCAAGACTCAGTCTACCTATCCTTGTCTGAGTCAGAAAGAAAGCGAGTAGTATGAATAAACATGGTTTATATACATTATGATTTGGTCTTGCTACTAAACTATCTTAATTGGTTTAGCTTCTTCATTCGCATAGTGGGTTTCGTAGAACGTGGGTATAAACAATTCTATATGAAGTTCAGGTCAATTATGTTGTCTAGACTGATATATTATCTAGTTCATACAACACAATACAACCAAAACATTTAACTTTTAAGTTGAAATGATAGATAGGAGTTTTAACTCAAGTGGGATGTATTTCGTTTTACTGTATACTCCAAATTCAATGATATAATTGCGAAGATTACATTGTCGTTCTTGACAACACTGAACATTTCATTTGAAATGAATTTGAAATAACAGCTTAGATAGTAAAACAGTTGAATTTTCATCCTTTGAGTCATAGGTTCAAACCTCTGTCCCACTTACTATAATTTAGACTATTGAGTAGTAGTAACGCAAACTATTACACCCAAAATTTAAGCGATGACACAAGGGTTTGTGGAGATCATCGAATTTTATAGATAACACCGCGGATTGATATGAGTTAAAAAGTCAATGAAATTTAGGAAGAACCCGGGGTTAGATCCTCATGGAGATCATGGATGCACATTGCTGAGTAGTCCCATATTGAAACGAAATAGATATTCAGTATTTCCTAAATTTTAATCGTTACTTCAAAAAAGTTAATTAATGATATTGACTATAAAATTAATAATAGTCACTGTTGTATACTTAACTCCGCCTGGAGCTCCTCTGGAGCTACTGCCGGTCCTAGGCCCGGATAAAAGAGGGGGTTTGAGCACGGGGTTAGCGAACCTATCCTGTAGAAAACTAACTCGCTAAACAAAAACGCTAACTAGAAAGTAAGTACTGTTTTATACTTACATCAATAGTATGTGTACTTGATTCATCAATTGGGATATTTAAACGATTTTCTTTATTTTCATATTCTTCATAATGTTTATGAAGTAAATGATGAATTTTTTCAAGTGTTTCTTCTACTTTATCATGTGCAGATTGAATTGTTTCCAATGTTTTATCATTATTCAATAAATTTGGATATTCTTGACGAATTGATAAAATTTTATCAACTAATTGATCCAGATATGTATCGGTTAATACATTAGCAAAACCTTTAGATGTTTGTAAAATTTTATTGAATTCCAATGATGAAGATGATGATGAAGAGAATGGTGGAAGTTTCTTTCCCAAATGATCAGCCTTTCATCCATTCAATACAAAATAAAAAGTAGGTTACTTATACATCTTTTTTTAGCAAGTTATATTTATCATTATCAATAATACTTGAAATGAATTGAGGAAGAGTGAAATACCTTAGAGTTAACAAGAAGTTAATATAAATTCACTTGATGTTGTTTTATTTGTATCCTCCAATTGTTAATTAGGACTCCAATAGATCAGTCTCTTGTTGGCATATGTGCATCTTGTGCAGATTGCATTAAGTCACAAGCTTTTTAAGCAAAGATAGATAGTGGCTAACAGTGGAATCCAGTTTGATGCGTGTTTCGTCCTATTTGAGATTCGTCAGCTGGATGTACCTGCATTCCAGAGATGATGTTCACTCCAAGACTCAAACCGAGTACTGTTCGCTTCAGACGCCATCTACTTATTTACTGAGTCCTGATAGCTATCTGTTTGTGCAATGGGTGAAGTTTAATTCACTTGTTATTGTTTTACTTGTATCTTCCCATTGTTATTTAGGAATGTAATTGATCAGTCTCATGTTGGCATATTTGCAATCCTATGCGGTTTGCCTCGATATAGCCCAAAGTCACAAGCTTTTTAAGCAAAGAAACGCGTGTCCTGGATTCAACTGCTAGCCATTATCCATCTTTGCTTAAAAAGTTATTATGTTCATCAGTAAATTCATATTATGAGCTTTCAACAGCTAATGATATTAATTAGTTTATCAAAAAGAAATAAACAGAAGTTTTTTTCTTAAAAGAAAACCTGTATGTTATGACTTTATGTCCGGCTAGTTATCACGTGATTTCTCCGCCAATCAAAATACGACCTAAACAATCTTAGCACTGTTCCAAACCAATGACATTCGAGCGGTATGGGCAGCCTATCGTCCTTATTGATCCTATGTCCGCCTAGCCTGTCCACTTGAGTCCAGAACACCAAATACCAGCTTCCAATATGCGAATTGAATCATTTATTTCAGACTTACTGAGTTTATATATCAAACAAACAGACCGCAATGCACCATAAAATACGAAATAACATTCATACACAATAAAGCCAAAAAGTGGCTGTGAACGAGGGAGATAATGATTAATAGACTGAACATAGATTAAGAACCGTAAATCGTTTGATAATAAATTATAGGTCAAAACAAAGCTTATAATAAGGGGAATATAAATATACATAATCTAATTGTTGTATAGTTATACAATAAGAATATTTATAGAATATTAGTCTATTAATAGTTCTCGGAAGTTACTCGTGATTTAATCTTCGTTCGGATATAACACTATAGTGAATAGTAAATTATCCAGCGCTTAATGAGCAATGGATTGGTGATTAAGGCATTCGACTTTTAGCTAATAAGTCGAAGATTTGAAAACTCCACCTCAGTCACCTTGTTTTGAGTGACTGAATGAATATCAGCAACCTTTACATTTAAAGTATGGCTTGAAGCCAAGTATGTGTATCTGTTACTATGTAAATAAGTTAGATAATGTAGATTATCATCTGAAATGACTGAAGAGTAACAGAGGATTTTATAAACACTATTTACAAGAAACTATGATGATTGTACAATAAAACATAACAATCATTGTATAAATGGTTAACATCGAAATAATAAAAAAAGTCATTACAAATTATTTATCTACGGAATTTAATTTTTGAGGGTTTAAGTTATCTCGTTGTTGATATTCTTAACAAAATGTTGATCAATTTTAGTTGACATTCAATTGTTTGGTGTATAATGCATTTGGCGTTCGAAACCAAACATGCCGAATTTGAGTTCAATCATAAACATGAACACTGGAATGTAAATACATTCAGCTGATCAAGCCCGAATAGAACAGAACGCACAACCTGGATTCCACTAACACATCAAACTAGAAGTTATTCTACTTGATAATGAATAGGCGAACTGTTTCCATCCCTAGCAATACTGGTCACAGTAAAGACTGTATCATAAGAACAGAGGACAAATAAACTGACCAGTCAAACAACGGTGCCAAGGCGATTATAAGTATCTGTAATCTCGATAATAAATATATTCTATCTATTCAGATTTAAGCACCGTAGATTAGATGTTCCAGACTTACTTACGCTCTATCAATAGTTCACAAATAGATTGTAGCTAAAAACCTGTAATTGTTAAGTTTTAAATTATGCTAATTCACTTAATATTCCGAATAGGCTATATCTCTAAAATTTCTGTTGGAGATCTTAATCTACTTTAACATTACAATTCACCACTGACCATTATAACTTATTAAAGTACGTCGTTAATTTTGATTCCTAATTATAATATATTGAGGGAAAGGTGACAATCAACTTAAAGACTGATACCACTTCTTAGTTTGGCCGCCCCTAGCTATCATTCAGCCTAATCCTACAGCAAGAAGCACTGCACAACGATGTAAGAAGTGGTTGGGTACACTATGATACACATGTCAACCATCTCAGTTTATGAAGATTCACTACCTCATCAACCAATTTCTTATCTTTATGTATTACCATGAGTTTAACCGTAATATGACTCACTTGAAGGTTTAAGTATACCTAAGAGAATGGCAAACGTCTAAATGACTCGATGTGTAACGCTAGCGAAAAATAGCAGACGTTGATTATTACACAAACAGCAACCAGATAGTATATACCTCCTTACATAGATTAGTTTAATAGTCAGTAACTTCATCGACTAACACTATTCTTATGTTTAGTCAACATAATTTTCTTGCAATCTACTTCAACGCCAATCATAAGCATACAGAATACTATTGTAAGTTTGTTGAAGACAGGAAACACTTTTTTTTCTCACATATATAACAATATACCCTTTTAAAGTTTATTTTATTTATTTAAACACATAAACTTTGGTACAAGGAGGACCAAATATATATGCGCCACACAAATCTCATTCGATATGTGTGAGGGCTGTGATACTGACCGGGTTCCCAGACCGAAGCAGATGGTTTCCTTAGGGGGGGCCACTCCCCGAGCCTTCGACCTGAAGGTCTGATCCACAAGGCAGTGGAGCGTCGTGAGGAGATGCAGTTCCATGGTAGCCGGTGACCAACAATTGGTTCATATGCCGTTTTTTTCCCTCAGGATACTGGAGCCCATGTGTACCATTGGTTTGGAATCCGGTTGAAGGGCCGGACATTCGCTTTTTATCCTCTCAATTTCGTAAACAACACCCCCGCAACGAGAAGGCAGTGATTAGGACTTCCCTGGCAGAGACTGTATACGCGTGGCCGTGTGAAAGCAATTCGAAAGGGAGGGCGGGTCCACCTCACTCTCCCTTTTAAAAAGTCATGATACAATGATACAGGAACAAACTCGTAAAACAACAACAAACAAACAACCGTAATTTAAAAAGAAATCTATGTCATAGTAGACTGTTTGTATTATCCATGTATATTGAATGGTACAAAAGTAGAAACATATTTAGAATTATATTAAATAATAGTTTATAACAAAATAAAATTGATGACCGGTTAGTTAATTAGCTATTTAGTGAACAACTTAGACATACACAAATACAGGGAAGAAAGGGATGATCAATTTAGTATGTGTTTATTTTTTCGTAGAAAAGATGAAATACAAATGAAACATCGTGAAAGTGAGAGGGAACGAAACAAACAAAACAGAAACCATGTAACCTTTTTACAAAATGGTTACCATTTACAGAACAGAATATGAAGTAACAATACATATACTCACACAAATACATATATAAAAGCATATAAGCATATAACTATTATAACATAGATAAATCTCAATCATTTATTCATTCAATAATGATTAAATCATCATCATCATCATCATCACCATTATCATCGTCGTCAGCAACTGGTACAATCATAGGTGATGACAGTGTTGTCAATTCTTTATCAAATCGTAATTTCTTCTCTTTGATTCTATTTATATTGTCTTGATCATCACAAGTGATTGTATCGAGAAATTTACGTTTATTACTATTACTAATATTACTAGTAGCATTATTAACACCATTATCCAAATCTTGATTTAAAGTAGTCATAGATTCTTCAGTAATTTCAATTAAATCATCCTCTTTATCATCATTATTGTTGTGAACAAATTTATCTAAGGAAACAGAAGAAGAAGAATAAAAGAGAAAAAATAAATTAGAATATCTAGTTAAAAACATTTTAGATAGACGCTCTGAGATCGATGTCATACTCCTTAAAATCAGTCAGTCAATTAGTAACAAAGTAGAACTTCGTAAATACGTACATCAGTTCGAGTTGTCATACAACATTAGCATAGAGACGCAATTTTTAATTCAAATCCCATAGTGGTAGAGGTAGTGGAAGTATAAGTAGTAATCGTGAACATTTTGGTTTGAAGACGTTATTCAAGGAGTATAATCCAATCAAATGAATTTGGAAAGAGAAAAAAGAAAGGGACATGAACAGCTTCTTAAATGATGCAATTGAGAACGTAGATTAATCCCTGCGTATTAGTCATGTTTACATTAAATTCTAAGAAAGTCCTACTGCAACTAGAACTATGTGTTGAGAGTATTTTTATACAAACTAAATAATGAAAGCTGTTGATATCGTGAGTTCACTTAGGTTAACTGATATATTGTAATTTCAAACTCATAATCCTATAGATTGTCTCAAAAATCTTAAGGAAACTAAATGCGGAAAAATGATTTGAGCCTGTTGGTTCATTTGATACCACTATGTAAATTACTCAGGCGAGTAAACCATCTAAAACTCTTAGATGATAAGATCATCTATTTATCTAATAGGCTAATTAAATTCACTGTAATCCTCCTATTACACGGTGGCATGTCATAGGACATGTACTTGCAAGCCATTTCACTAAATATTTGTAGATAATATTCAGACTAGAAGCCGTTGAGACAACAAGTATCAGTAAGTCAAACATAATGTAGAACCAGCTACGTTTGTACATCGGTATAAGTTCCCATACTCCATTATCACAGAGAGATGTGATTGTTAAACAAATTCCTGGAGTTGTAGAGGTAGTAACAGTATTAGAAAAGATTGGACATCGAAAATACAAATTATTGACAACATGTATACATTTCCAACTCAGCAGAGTCGGCTTTTTAGGTACAGTGATAATAATGGGATCTAGATTTTCATTATGTCCGATTCTGCGTTGCCGGAGTTAGGCATTACTAACATAGTGTAGTCATTAAATATAAGTGATCTTCCGAAGATTATGATATCCGAAAATATAAACATCGAGTCTTTTAAATTCGTAGAGGTCAGGTTTTGAAGGCACAAACCAGGACTGTGCGTACAAACACCTCGCGAGACTAATGTTTTGTGACTAGGCTAAGGCTGTGACAAAACGAAAAGTATTAGGGTAAGGGTTGCTATCAGTCTTCTAAAAGTACTTTACACTTTGACGTAATAAAGTATATTCCAGAAATACAGACAACAGTTACTGACTGATTAAGAGCGATTTGTGCGGCTTGGATCTGTTATATCCTAATGAGGACTAAATTACGAGTGACTTCCGAGAACCATTAACGGACTAATATTTTTATTGTATAACCGTTCAGTAACTAGATTAAGTATAACTATATTCCTCTTATTATAAGCTTCATTTTGACCTATAGATTATTATTATTAAACGATTTACTGCTCTTAGGTTATGTTCAGTTTATTGATTACAGTCTCCCACGTTCATAGGCACTTTCTAGCCTCATCATGTATAAATGTTATTTCCTATTTTGTCATGTGGTCTGTTTGGCTGGTACATAAAACAAGTATGATTGAAATAACTTATTCGCGTAGTGGAGGCTGTTGTTGGCGTTTCTGGACTCAACTGGACGGGCTAGGCGTACAATGGACCAATAAGGACGATAAACTGCTCATACCGGTCGAACGTCATCCGTTGGCATTGAGTTGCCCCCAGATGCCCTGGTACGGCCGAGAGTGGAGAGTCCGCTCTCTCTCTCTCCAAATGCTCTCATATGGCCACACGTATATAGCCTCTGCCAGGGAAGCCCTACTCACTAACTTCTCACAACACCGGTGTTGTTTATCAAATTGAGAGGATGAAAAGCGGATATCCGGTGCTTTAACCGGGTTGGTGGACACAGAGGACTCACCTAGGGGAGTTGGAAAACCACGATTCCAAACAAATGGTGCACATGGACTCCGGTATCCTGAAGGAAAAAATGGCGCATGAACCAATTGTTGGTCACCGGCTACCATGGAACTGCATCTTCTTACGATGCTCCACTGCCTTGTGGATCAGACCTTCAGGTCGAAGGCTCTGGGTGTGGCCTCCTAAGAAAACCACCTGCTTCAGCTTGGACACCCTGGCAGTATCACAGCTCACACACATATCAAATGAGGTTTGTGTGGCGCATATATATTTGGTGCCTCCTTGTACCAATACCTATGTGTTCAAATAATAAATAATAATAATGGCACTGAGTTAGTACTGAGATGGAATAACTCGTATGTCGATTGGTGAATAAATCACGTGATAACTAGCCGAACTTTAAGTCACAACAGTATCATACACTAGACAATTTTCGAAATTAACTATACAAGTAGCATATTTACATTGCTGTGTACACCTTTTTATAAACCCTTTCACAAAGTATCATTCATAATGAATTTGAAATATGATAACACTGAGTAAAACTGTCCAACTAACAAATCAAGAATGAAAATGTTTAGTACTGGGTAACAATCATTTAGGAAACAATGATAAATTAGTTGAAGACATCGTCATCAATTCAGTCAGTCAGTCAGCTACAACGTAGGTCCAGGCACATATATGCATCGGTCCAGGTTGCCATACCGCATCAGCACAAGATGAACACCGGATTCATAGCAGTGGTTAGGTCAAAGGTGGTAATATATAAGAGAAAGATTGCATATGGAGATATAGTACAAGAAGAAAAAATTGTTTCGTAGAAAGAAAGATATGAAGCGATTTTAATCTCTTAGTTTAGGGGAAGACAGAGAGTGTATACACCGACGACATTGTGATCGATTCTGAGCCATGTCATCAAGAGTCTCCAACCATTGGTTACGAAAGTGTGTGTGTATAGTCACAATACCATTTTTAACGTCTCATGCTACCTGCTAGCTTTACTGTAATAAATGATTTATATTATCTTACCATTTGCTTAAACGACAAAAACACAAATCATTAAGATAACCTACCTAATTTCCATATATTTATTCAAAAATATCCATAGATATATATAAAAAAATATGTTCTCTTAATACCTGTATTTTCATTGTTCTCTTTTTCAGCATTCTTTTCTGATATTGTATTATCTTTTGAATTTGACAAAATGGAATTTATATCACCAATAATTCTCCATATTTCAGATTGTTGTTCTTCATTATTAAATTGCTCGGCTAAACGATTATCGATATTAAGGTTTAATGTTGACGTTGATGTTGATGAATCAGACGGAGTAGGTAATGCATTAGCCAATTCTACACTAATACATGATAAAATAAGTTGGATGGTAAAATCTTGACGAAAATCATCACATTTTAAACAAGTTCCATGTGTTAATTTAAAGTCAGCTAATGTTTTATTTAACGTCTCTGAAATAAGAAGAAAAAAAAAACAAGAAAACAATTGACACTAGTAAAGTATTACCAGTGATAGGATCAATAAAACGAGATAATCCGTGTCGGGTAGAGACAGGTATCTGCCTCAGTACAATGGAAGTTGGTCGCGCAATTTCGTGAAGTGGTTGATGTTAGACACCAACACCATTGGATGCCGGCTCAGTGGTCTAATGGTTAAGTGCTCAGGCGCGAAGCCAGTAGGTCCTGGGTTCGAATCCCGCGGGGTGCGGGATCGTGGATGCGCACTGCTGAGGAGTCCCATACTAGGACGAAACGGCCGTCCAGTGCTTCCAGGTTTCCAACGGTGGTCTAACATCAATTGATTCATGATCTCAACCAAAATTTAACAATCTCCACAACCCCCATACTGATAAAACGAGATAAATCAATCAAATTGTGATGATATATATATTTTGTACTGTTTTATCTAACCTACTAAACTAATATTAATTAATTAACATAGAACCCAGAATCTCGTATTAACACTAATCCTGTTAAGTAATTTAGAAGTAGTCCGATGTGGTAGATTAGCGCTAGAAACGATTAAACAAAAATAACAGTGATTATCACCTATTGTCTGATCATTAGTAAACATCCCAGACTTATAGAAGATCAGTCGTAATTAAATGACTCACTAGTAACGTCTAAGATTGCGAAGTTTGATGACGCAGGTTCAAAACATACAATAAACATCAGTTCCCTCATAATCGCAGATATACCTTGATGATGGATGCTGATTAGCAGAGAAATTGGGTTCACGGTTTCTTGTTGACCATATTCAATCATGTGATTTCGATTCACTAAGACAAGTGGCGACACTATGACTTGCTTAAGAAAATTCAATCAGCCTTAAACGACAAGACACTAATATGTGTGAAGGGTATGGTGAGTATTCGTAAAAGTTAGAATTATTCTGTTATAGGTGTTGAGGATTGAATTGCCGATGTGGATCCTAATGCTGGTCACAATCCAAATGTACTGAAAAGTTATGACAAAATATCCAGTGTCATAATGTACATACTCCAATAAAAACTGATCAAAATTCGCTATGTATTTTGTAACTTAACTGAACAAGGTCATCAAAAACCTTATAAACACCGACTTTAAAATAACAGAGATCTACAGCTCAGGTGGATGATGATATTGACCAGAAAGGTAATGAAACATACACAGTTAAACTATCTTGTTCATAGAACAAAACAATAACACAGACACTTAACTGGTTTTATAATCTATGAATATGTAATAATCAGTTCAATTTTCACTGTTTTACCCGTCCAAAGTAGCCAGGGTTAAGGTTTGTCATCAATTAATAAACAGGTTCAATACTTTTCATATATCAAGTTATTTGATCTATGAAATTATTACTCAAGTCCTTAAGCAGTAGTAAATCACAATTTCACAATTTTTTTCATTTGCCAATATGTCGGTAAATGTAAAATAATCCTCCAATCATTTTTTTACAATTATACGAATTACTTAAAGCTGGATACATATACGTGTAGTAAATTTACTGAGAAAGAAATTAGATCAAGTACTCAAATTGTAATGGAGACAAGAGGTAAACTAACCTTCATCTGTTTCATCTTCTTCACTTGATATTAGTATAATGCCACGATCAGGTACCTCGACATCTGGAGCAAGCATACCTAAATGTCGTACCAAGATACGATCACGTAGAATACGCAATGTTAATAATTCCGGTGCACAGAGTAAATGCAGTTGAGAATTTCTAACAGAATCACTACACACTAAACAAGATGGATTCGGTAGTGCTGGTTCAACAGGACTACAAGACGACGATTGCCACGCCGACCAGTTGGTCGACGATGTATGTAAACAGTACGAATACGCTAGAAAAAAATAATAAAAATGAGATGGAAAGAAACTTTTATTGTTAACAACTTACTGAATGAATTATAAAACTAGTTATTACAGTGTTTGATGTATTGGATCACCACAATAACAAACGCGAAATGTTGCACAATGACAGTCAATGTACAACAGATTATACTGCATATACAGTAACAAACACAATTCTTTACAAGTACAATAATATATATTAAAATTATTTCACCATCAATAAGTTGGTGAAAAACTGTCATCGTTGACAAAAGCTCCAACAAGATACTACTAATTAGAATGCAATTAGTAACATAGAACAATAATCGATAAGACAAATATCAAACAGTAGAAATTCCATCTGATAACATGATAATGAAAAATGTCTTCGTGACCATCAAAATGTATTTGCGACGCTTACTTGTTGGATTGTTGTTTTTTCTTAAAGTAAAATGTACATGATTTTAATTACTCTGTTACCCATATTTCGAAACAGGAAAAATGGGGTTTAATTAGTTGTGTAGAAAAGCACCTAACTCTTTTACTTACATGACTCGAAAGTACTCTTTCAGATTAGAACTGCAACTTGAAAAATTACTTGGTAGAGAAATTGGCTAGTTTCAAAAAGGCTAGAATCGGTTAAATAAGAGGACAGCATCATTCTACTACGTCATTAACTGCTGGAAATAGTTGTATTGAAAGGATCTGAGATATAAAGATGTTTAGAGGTCAGGGAAATTCGATGACATAGAACAGAATTGACCACAAGGGTATAAAGTCATTGATTCTTCGTCTTGGCCTAGGTCTCTCAGTTCCAATATTATTCTTGTATACTTTTTATACCCATATTTCATTACTTCCTAATAAATCATATCCTAAAAATTCAATCTTCCTTATCATCACTGTGTTGAGAAATGTTGAATCTTCCAAATGCTACATTTAGAATGAAACCAATTTTTTAGATTCACATTGATTTAAAGTAAAATTCATTCAATCACTTTCGCTGTGTGTTGATTTATTCAGTATAAAGTTAATTTACGTTATTTTCAATCTATCTTTTATTTTTTATTTACTGGAACATGTAAACATAGGTAAAAAGGGTTACCGAATACATATGCGCCACACAATTCACTTGATTTATGTGTGGGCTGTGATAATGTTCGGATACCCAAACTGAAGCGGGAGCTTTTCTTAAAAGACCACACCCGGAGCCTTCGATCTAAAGGTCTGATCCACAAGGCAGTGGAGCATCGTAAGGAGATTCAGTCCCATGGTAGCCAGTGGCCAATAATTGGTTCATACGCCATTTGTTCCTTTAAGATACTAGAGCACATGTGCACCATTGGTTTGAAATTATGGTTTTCCAATTCCCCTAGGTGAACTCTCCATGTCCACCAACCTGGTTGAAGTGCCGGATATTCGCCTTTCGTCCTCCCAATTTGGTAAACAACACCGGTGTTGCGAGAAGGCATTGAGTAGGACTTCCGTGGCATAGGCTATATACGTGTGGTCATATGAGAGCATTTGGAGAGAGAGAGCGGACTCTCCCCACTCTCGTCCGTACTAGGACATTTGAGGGCCAAGGGATTTATTCAGTACAAAGTTAGTTTACGTTATTTTCAATGGATCTTCATTGAATTAATATAATGCTCCGTAATATAGTTTTTTTACGGAGTACCGACTTCCCAGTTTAATAAATTTTAAAATTCATTGATATATAATTTAAATAAAACTGAATGTAACTTAGTTCTTTCAAAGTTTCAACTAAGAGAAGCAGATACACAAACTTGAACTTTTTATTGCATAGGATAGAACCAGTCTCAGTTATTGTACGGAAGTCGGAGTTGTGAATAATTAGCTTACTATATAAATGTGTCATATTGATTAGATTATTATTATTCTGACTTTTGTGTTATTCATCTAGTTATATATATATGTCTGTTTCCATTTTATTTTCTCTAGTTGTAGATGATGGAGTTAGCGACCCCATCCCGTAGAAAACTAACTCGCTAAAAAACGCTAACCAGAAAGAATTATTAAAACCATTTAAACTCTGCTCTGGGAGTCAGAAGGTCTTCATTTAGAAGAGTTATGATACCTCATGATGAAAGCCGAGTTCCTTCGGAAGTTACGAGGCCGATGCACCTTCTGACAACCATAGCAACCATTATTTAGGTACATGGGATGCTCGTACAATGTGGAAGACCGGGAGTGTCTTCCGAATTGCTGCAGTTGTAGATGATTATAACCAACTCGTTATGGCTCTAAATATACCAAAAACATGTTCACTTAGAAAGAATTAAAAGTTTTAGGCTAATACCTTTCATTTCTGTAATACATGTAAAAAATGTACTATCTAAACAATTTCTGAACTAAAACACTTTAAACAATCAAGCACCCCATTTATCCTTTACATTTGACATTACTATCTATATCAAGCTGATTATTTCTGTAAACTAGTATGAATACTGTAATTATTATTTTCAGAATATATATTATATTACTATTATATGTGATAACTTGCCCGACTAATGTTGTTGTGCCAAATCCTACTCTCATAATGACCTACTAACTTAGTCATTCGAACACCGTCAACATGGAGCCTGACACATGTGCATCGAACCAAGTTATTATACAGGATTAGCATGACGAGATGAAAATAACAAGATAAATGGCATAAGAGATCGAATGATTGCAATAACAATGATAATGACAAAAATTAAACATAGGTAATACGATTCCAAGAGACGGAATGGGAAGGTATGTATAAAGGAATAATGAAATTCAAGATCAAGAGGAAGAAAAAGAGTGAATGTATTTAGTTCATTGTGAACAAATCTGAACAATGTCGACCAAAGCCTCCAACCACTGATCGCTATTATCTCCATGACCTCAACCAGGTAGTCTGTATTAGCCAACATGGTTTAGATAAACAATCAATGACTTCATGAGCTGGTGCATTGTCTTCGTTTGACCTTTCCCAGCCTTTTTTGAAACTAATCTTGCACTGATTAACCGTAAATAAGAGAGGCATATATAAGAAAACGAAATATTGGAATCAATAGTAAAATTACCTCAAAATGTTTAGATAAAATATGTCTAGCTTGTAGTACCATAAGACCAGCGACGATGGCATTTGTTGATGCTACGGCCGGTATGATATTCCCAGCTAAAGATTTAATAATAAATCTGGTTAACTGATCAGCACCGGGTAAATGAAATAACTGTGATCGAATAATTGATGCTGAGGCGACAAAATCCATAGCTTCCGGGTCATCCTACAATTGAAAATGATAGTAATAGTAGTAACAGTAATATGAGTATATAAATCATTATTAAAACAAACGAACTGTGGAGATCAATGGGATCCAGGATGCGTGTTTGGTCTGATTTGGAACCCGTCAGTTGGATGTACCTCCATCTCTGTCGATGACCAAAATAGGACTTGAATTAAGTACCTTTTGTTTCAAACATGCAACGAGTTATCCAATAAGCTATTAAGTCCACACATAACCAACAGAAAATGTTCAACAGGTATAATGTTTATATCAATAGTAGTAAACGGCTTAATTATCCTATTCTCGAAATTTACTATGGAATTTTGATCAGTCTTTGATGACATAAATGCATCATACTGTACGGATTGCATTGATATAGTTATTTTATGGTACGTGTTTATTTTTGTGAATGTATGAATGGATCATAAATCTGTGTAACTAAAAGATGAGCTAAAAACGACGGCTTACTTGGTTAAGCGCTTGACTTTTAACTGTTTAGGCAATAAGTTTATAGCGCACTTCGTTAGCTTTAGTTTAGACAACCAGGTATTACCATCATTAAATATCACACAAAAAAACGATACGATGTGACTTAAGGCCTATAAATTGAAATTTTACTTAGTTGTATCGAGCTTTCATGATGATTACGACATTATGGATATGGAGGTCCGTAGTACTTTAGAAGGAAGCATAAACTGGCATATATCTGAAGACCTGAAAAAACCTGAACTGAGTTAGATTTCTGGAGAGGTGTTGTTCTGTGAAAAGATGATTAACAAATATCAGTAAGCTCTTTTCGACTATCATTACACGTTCATCTCTTATACAGAACACACTATTATGATGTAATACTCCAGGTAGGTAATTTAATGATAAACGCGTTTTTATTGAAAACTTCACAAACAATTCTGTCATCACAAAGTGTTGTCATGGAGTAATTGCTAATGTAACTTATTTACCAAACATAATTTCATATATTACGACATTGAGTTATACTTAAGCCATCAGGAATAATGATACTAATTGGCTACTTAAATCGAAGTGAGAAGAGAGGAGTTTGCAAACCCGCAGCCTATTTATTGAAAGTCAGGTGTACGTCAACTACAAAGTAACTCCATACCAATCTGTAATCGCTAATGATAGTAAATGTTTACTTAAAAATGTTAGCTGATTGAGACTTAGTTTGCCAGGAAGACAAAACCTAAATCAACAATAAAATATTTTTTGACTAAATATTCAGGATATAATATTATGAATTACCTTATCCCATACTAAGTATTTGTCCCCTCCACCATCTTCTACTTGTTTCTGTAGTTTATCAACTGATTTTAAGAATATACGAAGCCAACCCGATGTAGATAGTTTCCGCTGATCACGTAATTCACTTACACATGTTGAATCCAATAATTCATCTGATATTTTGGTTAGATTTAAGTATAGATTTTGTTGAACAAAAACAGAAGTCAGTTTACAGCAGTTTATGCGAATAAAAATGAATTAATGATGAATTACGCAATATCAGGCATAACTACAACGTAGGACCTACCACATGTGTACATCGGTTTAAGTTGTCACAACCTTTTAGCATAGCGAAATGAAATTATCATGATGAATCTTAAAGTAACAGAAATAGTAACAGTATTAGTGGTGATAGAAAAGACTAGGCATCGAATATACGATTCGACAGTAAAATATAAACTAGTGAGATAAAACTTATGAGGAATTGAAAAACTTAGTATTTGAAGAAAGACAGAGTGTGAATGCATCTGCACACTGAGAACGAATTTCAACCAGGTCACTTCAAGTCTCTAACCATTGGAAACGATGATCAAGAAGACCTAAATCAGGTAATTTACACCTACATACATAGATTAGGCAAAGAGTTGATACATTCGTGAACTGATGCCACGAAATTTCTCTGGCCATTCCTAGCTTTTTCATACCTTATTCCTACATAAATTATCGTGCGTCGAGAGAGTCGGTAGATGTGCATATACAACACACTACCCAACCGTCTCAATCAGTAAACATTCACTATGTTGTCAATCGACTTACCACACTTACTTAGTACTTTGCGTTTAACCTCAGAACTGCCAACTTGACGATCCCAAAATATACCACCGCTGTTTCGAAGACACCCATGGCCGAATACTGATAACCTACGAAAATCCTGTATTTTTAAATGCCACAGTCAATATTATTTGAGAAGATAGAACGAATTTGTCGGATAAAAGGTATTAAATATTTTTCAAACTCAAATCTAGAGGAACACGAAGATTGAATGCATTCGCACGATTGACTCATCTCAACCATTGGTTACATTAATCGTAAGGACCCCAACTAGGTATATATACATCATATACACATAGCTCAGGCCAATTCAATGACTTGAGAAACCATGCTACATGTTGGTTTGGTCACCCAAAGCTTTAATCCAAACTACGCCTAGAAATCAAACATCACGTGTCTTGGTAGTTGATGGTTGATTTTTTCTAAGATTTTATGAAATTTAAACACTAAATTTCCAAACATTACTGTAGTATAGTGAGAATTTTAACTGTTTGGATGACATCAACAAACATGTTTACATAGACTAAAACTGATACTAAAAATTTTGTCGAACGAAAAAGAAATATTAATTCCACAATGAAAACAAAGTACCAATCACCTGAATCTTTTTCTAATGCATCTTTCATTGTAGTCTTTTCCAAAGGACTCGGTTCTCGACGATCTTGACGGTCGACCCATAAATCACGCATACTAACCAATGTGACAATATCATGATGAAATAATCTCCAAGATAGTGAAATGGCACCAGATGAAATTTTACCATTTTCTAAATTAGACTGGTCATTTTCATTACTAGACCACAGAATGTGAAGCCATTCTCTTAAACTAATTTGATCAGGTTTAACTGAATTTACAATCGCTGTACTATCTGTATTTAGCACATCATCAGATTTATTGATAAGATCGTTTTTAGCCGGCAACAACTCATCATTAATCTGATTACGATCATGGTTATGGAGACTTGGATCGGTGAAATCCGGAGAGATATCTTCATCATCCACATCAGGTTGACCAAATAACTGACTAGCAAATGGAAAACATAAAAACAATCATCAAGTTGCAGTCAGTTTACATAACAGATGACACCAACTGGGGACTTGACAGACTACGACGGACTCCGGATAGGTATGTCATCCGAATTTTGGACTCCTAAGTGAGGGAGTACATCCAAGGTCCAAAAGTCAAATTAAAACGGTGGGTAAGATACTATTGAGAGCTGTTTATACACCTAATCAATATTGCAACCACACCCTGTTATTTAGTATAAGGAGGACAGTTATATAAATATCCATGATTTGTCTACATTAAAATTCAGTTTATTAATTAAAATCTTCCTATTCGTTTCAGTCTTCTCATTTACATAATAGGTCTGATATACTGTACGGAAATATATATAGAAACTGAACTGCAAAAATAACTACATGACCACTAGGGTAAAAATTATCCAGTGCTTCCTCATACTTAAAAAGTTTTTCAACTGGTAAAATATAACTTGAAACTCAAAAATCTACACAAAGCCTTTCATTTAATAATGATAAATCACTACTTTGTAAAGATCTAACCAAAATGAAAATAGATTGTCAGCACAAACCCAAAATAAGCCGACTTTTAATTCCTACTTTACCAAGTACACATAAAAAGCTTGTTATAATGTGACAGTGAGGTGTAGGATCTATTAGAGATATTATTAAACTTCATTCTTATTTTCACATCTGTTATAGCACTTTGATTTTGAGCCCCCAAATGCCCTGGTACGGCCGAGAGTGGGGAGAGTTCGCTCTCCCTTTTCAAATGCTCTCACATGGCCACACGTATATAGCCTCTGCCAGGGAAGCCCTACTCACTAACTTCTCACAACACCGGTGTTGTTTATCAAATTGAGAGGATGAAAAGCGGATATCCGGTGCTTTAACCGGGTTGGTGGACACAGAGGACTCACCTAGGGGAGTTGGAAAACCACGATTCCAAACAAATGGTGCACATGGACTCCGGTATCCTGAAGGAGAAAATGGCGCATGAACCAATTGTTGGTCACCGGCTACCATGGAACTGCATCTTCTTACGATGCTCCACTGCCTTGTGGATCAGACCTTCAGGTCGAAGGCTCTGGGTGTGGCCTCCTAAGAAAACCACCTGCTTCAGCTTGGACACCCTGGCAGTATCACAGCTCACACACATATCAAATGAGGTTTGTGTGGCGCATTTAGTGCCTCCTTGTACCAATATCTATGTGTTAAAATAAATAAACTGCACATGAACTTGGAGCAAAGTACACGGTTATCTCACAGAACTGCTTTAAATCTAACAACTTGACATAAGAGTCTAATTCGTACAGTTGAGTAATTTTGTTAGTACTACTAGTAAAGCTATTGACCCAAATATGTTAGTATGCTATACTTTTTCACAATATCTAGCGGTTCACCCTACTTTTAACTTGGAATAAGTGGTTTGTGACCTTAAAAAGTAGGCATGAAGAGACTGACGACTTAATTATTAGTTGAATACATTTTGGATGAAAGCAATGAATAATAATTTTCTGGTAGAAACTAGTCCAGATAATACTGATTTATTTCCACTAAGAGAAAGTTGTCGGTATAAATCGATACAAGTTTAGGAAAATTAAAAGTTATTCTCACTTGAATAAATACTTTGCCCAAACAACACAATGAATTGGCTCAGATGGAGTGTTACGTATGGTGCAGGCTGGATAGTGACGCTGACCTAATCCACGAGGTTGACATTCATAACATCCCGTACGATAGGTTGTCGCTTGATTCGCTTCTGTGTTGGTGGCCTCCGATTCACTCGTTTCAATTACGGGAATTAACGGCTCGACTTGTCCCAAGTAACCAGCTGTGCCGGACTCAATTAAGGGAATTTTTGCCGATATACACATACGATTCACATGTTTTCTTGCAGCTGTATGTAAGTTAATAACGGGAATATGAATGTGACGCTATAAACAAATAATAAGAAATCCTAAGTGCTACCCCTTCAAGAACAATTTTAATACAATCCCTTTTACTTGTTTGATATCAGTATGGTGTCAAAGATAATGTCCTCGTATAGGTGATTACAAGCTTTTTTAATTATAACGAGAAAAGAGTGGATGGGACAAACAATACGAAATAAACTGACGGGATATGAGAACATTGAAGAGGTAATTTATGTGAACCTACATATCATATTTAAGTCAAAGGAAATAGTAAAAGCTTAAAGCTTACAAACTTTAAGACATTATCTAATTTGAGTATTTTAAAATAGTTAATTATAGTAAAGAAACGACAAGCAAAAACTACAAATTTCCTGAATACTTAAATACGAATTAGTATATGGATGAAGTACTGGAGCTGTCCAGCTGAAAGAATGCGACACCACGAAAACTATTTCAATGGACTTTATTAAAATTACTTCTAGTGTTGGTTTAAACTAGCTGGATAATGTACGAATACCATAACTGTTTTTAAGGTCAGTAGTGAAATTCAGTCAGTCAGTAACAACGTAGACCCTCGTACGTACGTACATCAGTTCGAGTTAGCATACCACATTAGCACAGAGATGCAGTTGTCAATTCAAATCCCGTAGTGGTAGAGGTAATAAGAGTATAAGCAGTTATCGGAAACACTAGGGTTTGGAGATGTTATTTAAAGAGTATAATCCAGTGAAATAAATTTGGGAAGCGAAAAAAGAGACAAGGAGGAATCAGGAGATTAGAATTTGGAAGAACACAAAGAGTGTATGCACTTGCGCCATTGCAAACGATTTTGAGCAATGTCATTCAGGATCTCTAACCATCGGTTGCTATCATCTCGCAGATCTCAACCAGGTAATCTACACCTACCAACATGACTCAGTCCACTTGTCAGTGACTTCATGGACTTGTGCCATGTTTTGGTCTGGCCGCCCCTAGCTTTTCTCCAACCTACTCCTACACCAGAAAACATCGCTAGTCAGGGCAGTCAGTGGTTGGGCATATGTAACACGTGTCCCAGCCATCTCAACTGATGAAGTTTCACTACATCATCAATTGATTTGCCATCCTTATCTAGTACCCGTTTCCTAACAACTGTGTTACTTACTCGATGGTCCCAAGATATACGAGCAATGTTTCGAAGACACCTATGATCGAATACTAGTAACCTACGAATATCCTCTACTCTTACCGGCCATGTTTCAAAACTATAGTTCTTAGGAGTCAATATGTGTGTTGAAGCTAAAAGTATTTGACAGAACCTGAATTGTGTGACCAAGTCCATTTCTTTGTTGTTAATTGGAATTTACCAAATCATTCCCCAGCTACTTGAATATGAGTTATACTCAAAGTATGGGAGATAATAATACTATTTGGCTAACTAAACCAAAGTACATAGAGTGGGAGTTTTGAACTTTGTTATTATATGTAAAAAATAACTGATAATTTTGTTTGTCAACTGTTAGAAATTATAATTAACAGGATTAAGAATGACACGTGATAGTCAAGACTGTGTGAGCAATTTTAAACATGTCAAAGAAGGGCCCATACTAATTATATATATACAGGAACTTTCGCAACTAAGTGCACACCAAGAAAAGCAAATATACGTTATAAACAGGCTTCTGTCATAAAAAGTACAGAGATGATCTTTTCATCGACAGAGGTAATATCAAACACTCCTAGTTAATCTGAAATACTATGAATTAGAGTAGTTTAATACACATTTTAGTCTTTGTGGTTGATTTTTAACTGATTTAATGAAGTTTTAATACCGTCATGACAAATTATAATTATTTCATTACTGCATCTAGATAACAACTATACAACTCTACACAGATGTACCGAAAATAAGACTGACTGGTTAATCTCAGTACCCTATCATTTGATTTTTCCTTATGTACTACAATTAGTAGTTAATGCATTTTAGTTTTGCTCATCCATTGGAACTTTCTATCTTAAACTTACCTGAATATGGATAACCGAATATTAAACTAGCCCTTCTACAAATTATAGCATGAAACCGAGTATGTGAACCTGAAACTGGCTGATGAGGACTTTCTAAAGTCATTAGCACTTTTCCCTGAAGTTGAATCAAAACACATTCTCATCAAATCATACGTTGAATTTCCAATATACCCTATTTATATCACTCACTAAAGTGTAGTGGTTTGACAGTTAAGGTATCCAAATTTCAGCTACTAAATCCAAGGTTCGAACCTCAGTCCATCTTTGATTTGAGTAAGTGAGTGGTATCATTAGTCTCTGCCCCCAAATGCCCTGGTACGGCCGAGAGTGGGGAAAGTCCGCTCTCCCTCTCCAAATGCTCTCACATGGCCACGCGTATATAGCCTCTCCCAGGGAAGTCCTACTCACTAACTTCTCGCGGCATCAGTGTTGTTTACGAAATGAGAGGACGAAAAGCGAATGTCCGGCCTTCAACCGGATTCCAAACCAATGGTGCACATGGGCTCCAGTATCCTGAAGGAAAAAATGGCGTATGAACCAATTGTTGGTCACTGGCTACCATGACACTGCATCTTCTAACGATGCTCCACTGCCTTGTGGATCAGACCTTCAGGTCGATAGCTCGGGGGGGTTGCTACCTAAGAAAACCACCTGCGTCGGTTTGGGCACCCGGGCAGTATCACAGCCCTCACACATATCGAATGAGATTTGTGTGGCGCATATGTATTTGGTGCCTCCTTGTACCAATATCTATGTGTTAAAATAAATAAAAAATCACTAGTCTCTAAATTAAGTGTGGCTCATTTCCAGGTACCTGGTAAATGAATTAATCACATCTACATATTATTACCTGTTTAATATGCAGGGGTGTATCATTAGTGTAAACGCTAGAATATATACATGGTATTTCAAGTTTGTCACTTTCCATATATATGAAGAATAAAGTCATTAAAAGGGGAATAATGGAATAAAAACATTACTCTCAACATTGGTATGAAACAAGAGGATAAGCACCGATTTGTACGCGCATGAAACTAGAAAACGAGAAACAATGAACAGAACGAAGTTCATGATTTAGATAAGAAGTGCGACAGATGAATCTGATTCATTGACGTCTACTACGAGTTGCATTAACTTCTAACGGTAAACTGACATTTCATTACATGCTTCATCCAAGATGAAAAGCAGTGTCATTATTTATTTGTTTGAACACAAATATTGGTACAAGGGGGCACCAAAATACATATGCACTATACAATGACAATGAGGTTGTGAAGAAAAAGATAATGCAGTGTGTATAATGAAAAGAAGTACAGCAACGAACAGAATTTGTGCATGAGTGAATAATAATAATGGAAAAACAGTTCAGTTGGCCAAAATACAACCACAAAGAATTCTTTCAGTTAAAGACGTTACGTTCACTTTTATGAAGTAAGAGAGTTACAGTAGGATCGTAACAGGCTTCTATTCTGAGCCATGTTTCGTAACGTCTCAAGCCATTGTGTTGCACCATCTAAAGGACTAAAACCACTGAGCCGTGAAAGTTTAACAGAAGCCATTCCTGTATAGCTTTCTCATGCCACAACACCACTTCACACTGATCACCTTTCTCCTTTGTCCAACCTGTCCCAGCGTTGGTAAATTATACACGACGTGGAAATCTCTGAACGACATTTGTAGATCATATCCGCACCGCCGAAGTCGATGTTTCAAGATAGCGACACTAATTGAATTATCGTCATTATGCCCGAACACATGATGCCGAACGTCTGCATTACTAATATGGCGTTTCCATTGGACGTCAGTGATCCTTCGGAGACTGATGATCAAGCACACAGAGAGTCGTCTAACATCTTTAACTCGAAGGCCAGGTTTCACAAGCATGGAGCAGAACTGCTTTTACCGACGCGTTGTAGATCCAACCTTTGACAGCCAAACTGACATCACGAAGGCGCCAAAGATGGCCTAGATTGGCATAAGCCGCTCTGGCTTTCACTATACGTGCATTGATCTCATCACTTACGCCACCACCAGCACTTATGCAGCTACCTAGATACACGGGCTTCTCGACCTCTTCTATCCGCTCACTACTTAGTGAGAGTGCAGGACCTGAGTCCTGCCAGTCTTGTAAAAGTACTTTAATTTGTAGTGAGGCTGTTTATTATTTACAATTGATAGTATTCCCAATATGCATCAATTTATTTGATGCATGTAGAAGTTCGATACAAACACTCGTCAAAATTAAACTTCTCACTTTACCTATAAAAAGTAGGAAGAACTACGCTGTTATAACGCGGCATAAAAAAAACAATTGAATGTATACATGACAAGGAAGATTTGAAGCTAATGCTAGTTTAAAAAGCATGATCGAACACCTCCACTACTTACCAAGATTATCTAAAGCGTTAAAAACAACAGCAAACTTTCCGAAGAATTCAGAGTCGAATGACGAGCTAGTATTAAATGAGAAATTTCAATAATAAAAGTTACCTGAATATACTTTTGTGATAAGCGACAATATGAGCGGTTGGTTTAAATTCCAACACATTGTCCCTGGCAGTCTGAGTCAGAGATTATACTAAAATCAGCCACAACTTCTGCTTTTGAACGCCCAACATGCTTCTTTCTGAACAGGAATTGTCTGTTTAAGTTGCTTACATCGATGGTATCAAGGTCTACCTAAAAAACCGCAAAGAATGACGGAATGTTGTGTCATACAATTGTTATGTCATTGAATCCATTATAAACTAAATTCTTCAGCAGCTCACACCCGATACCACCAGCTCCAACAAGTAATACAGAACCGTTCGATTTCGCGCTCATTTTGTCCTTGGATTGTGAGACAGAAAAACATCTAACTTAATGCTTCATTCAGTATGAATAGAACTTTGACATTTTATAGTCAAATCTATCTTGAGATGGCTTCATGATGATCGTGCTGACAGCTATTGCAGTAACATATTTTTATTATCCAAGTAACAGAACATTTATAAAGGCAACATTTTCAAACGATTCAAATGGGTGTGGACGGTATAGAAGAAGCTTTCGCTTAACAGGCTTCCGTGTCCAGTAGCAATGGATCATCAATACCTCCGGGCAGGGACCTGGATATATTAACGATAATAGAAATTGGTAAATCATAGTAAGATGTTATCCTTAATCCTTAAGAATATATCAAGTTTCCACTTGAAGGACTCCTGGGAAGTCGATTGGACTAGTTCAGTCGGCAGCGAATTCCAGCATTTGACAATTCTTAAGAAGTAAGAGTTGTGTCAACAGTCCGTTCTGCTATGTTGTATCTCCAATTTCTGGGTGTTAACCCTTAGTTTTGTATTGGGACTAAGCTTAAGTAGGTGTTTGAGGGGATGTCCAGAAGTATTAAGGATACTGTAAACTATTGGAAGGTCACCTCTAAGACGCCTATACTCTAATGGGTAAAGGCCAAGTAATTGAGGCGCCCTCGACAAGGTTTGAATTTGAGTCCTCGAACTGACTCCGTGGATCGCCGTTGGATACGCTCCAAAGTGTCCTTATCCTTTTGGAGTGAGGGGGGAAATACTATGTTTCCGTACTCTAAATGGGGACGGATAAAACTGTCGAAGACTATGTGGAAATTTCTTCCGTCAAAGTGGCCAAAAATGCGCTTCAACTTTACCAGTGCAAGGTTTGCTCGAAAGACATTTTTGTCACAGTTAGCGTAAGACTTCGAACCATAGGGTACCAGGATTCCTAAATCTTTTTTGATTCAGGATACTACTAGAGAGGAGTTTCTTAAGTTGTGACTGTAGTCTGCAACATGTCCCAGATGGACTACTTTGCACTCTGAAGTGTTAAAGGTAAGTCCGTTACCGTCTACCCAACTTTGAATTTGAGTCAGATCCTCCTGATGTGCCTGTGTATCGTCTTGGTTGCGTATCCCTCTCCACAGCTTCACATCATCGGCGAAAAGTAATGTCTGATGACACCTGTTGTGGAAGATCATTTATAAAAATCAAGGAGAGAAGAGGTCCTAGTACTGAGCCCTGAGGGACCCCACTAGGACATTCCATAGCCTGAGATAAAGTAAAGTTAAACCTGACCTTAAAATGTCGATTTTTCAGATATGAAATGAGCCATTCAATTAGAGGTGGTCTGATACCCAATTGTTTGAGTTTATAGATAAGACATATATGGTTGTCTCCATCGAAGGCTTTTGAGAAATCAAGGTAAATTATATCAACCTTCCCCTTGCGATCAAGGATGCTTGACCATTTGTCCACCGCTGTCAGCAGGTTGGTTATACAAGAGTAACCCTACCTGAAACCATGCTGCTGGAGTGAGAAGTTGCAGCTAGCGCGCTCTTACAGAACAGGTTTCCTATAGATGAAGCCTATATCGATCTTAGCAAGGCGTTTTACAGTTCCACGCAGCTATCTATTATCTGAATAAATAATATCGGGATTGGGGGCAATTTCTTAATGTAGATAAGGCACTTCCTAGTTACGAGTCAACAAATAGTACAGATGAACTTGTTGTCTAGATGGGAAACTGTGCTTACCAAAGTGCTTCAGGATTAGTATTGTGGCCAGTGTTGTTTGTAGATGGTATAGAAGATTTGTAGCTCAAGTGGATGATTTCGACGGAACATAAGGTCAAGTTTAAGGTCACCATGAACCAACAAACATCGAGGTGTACAGGAAAAGCCGTGAAACACATGTGGAGAAGTTCGAACACTTTAATTCTACCTGAAGTTTGTGCTGATGATGTCGTTCAGAAGAACGGTGGAATCTCCAAGACTTAACCATCCAGCTCAGAGAACAAAACTCCATCAAAACCAGTGTTTTTTCTCCTGTATGTAAGTGACCTTCCTAGTCTCCTATCGTCATCGTTTTTGATATATTCTGATAATATCAAGGTATAGAGGGCGATAAAAAAGTAAATTTGATAGTTTAGATTTTTAAAATTGACCGGAATGTTGTTTGAATGGTCTAGAAATTTTCAGTTACCGATAAATGCTTCCAAGTACACTATGATGCCTATTGGTTATCAGGGTGCCGATACATGCAGGGTGAATGACACTGAGCGACCTGTTGTCCAGACAAACAATGATCCAGGAATCATCGTTATTCATGACCTAAAGACTGTTAACCACTGCCATGCGATAGCCGCCAGTTGTTTCAGAATTTTATGATCAGTCCTGCACTCGAGCACTCCATACAGGCGACTAGACTCTGCTAAAAAGACTCAGTGAGCGTTTGGCAAATGTCTAGAGGACCGCAACTAGGCTGATTCCTAGACAGAAAAGCTTCTGTATGTTGCTCGACTGGTTAAACTAAACCTATATATATGGCTCACTACCAGACAACTTAACCAACGAATGAGTGAACATCTACCAACTTGGTACATAAAGGGCCAGATAAAATATATTCGAAGTTCTATCTTTGCACATCTCATTGATAGCGGTCATGCTGTATATAATCGAAATCATTTCGAGTTATCTATCGTATACCTCCATCATTTCCCGACAGAGTTCGTTTCCACCTCCTACATATAGCCGGAGCCATTGGAATTCGTACATATAACCCCAATTTATGTATACAGAAGAAATACGTAACCCTTTATCCCTTCCATGGCCAGTTATAACTTAACTAACGATATTTTTTTAATTTTATTATTATCATTATTTATTTTATTCTATTTTGTTATCATTAACCTTATTTCTACATCGATTATTTGTTGTAATTTTCCGCCTCTTTGTATTCTTCACTACCTAATTATTTACACACGTCTTATTACGTAATGATTTTAATGTTTTGTGATTACTATTCCTAGTCTATTTAACCATGTTTGACCTTCTATTTCTAACGTTTTACTATTGATAAGAGTTTTGTTAATGTATTTTATTATTCTTACCATTATCAGTTCACCTGTCTTCCTACTATAAACTTGTACTTTTACCTATTATGTGTAGACACTTATTCTATTTCATTGTGAGTATTGACCCATATTGCCTTGATTGGTTTACATTTTCGTATAAATATTCATGTATATTAGAGTAAAGCCTGATGACGACCTAATTGAAAACAATTGTTCGCTTATATGTGTTGTTCTATCATGTCTTTAGTTTATTTCTGAGGCATTATTACTTTTGTGTTCTCAGACTTTTCCTCTCACACATCAGTATATATTGCTGTCATTACTTCGGAAAAGAGAACCGAACTGTTGAAGATTGATATGCTTCGCCACCACATGTCAGCTCATGTCAATCCAGTCCGATAATATCGAAACTTCGTTCTGTTACGCAGAACTTGACTTCCACAAACACAGAGTGATAGACCTTAGTGCGCATATTCTCGAGGTAGTGAAGGCACTGTTGCGCAAGTTCAACAGGTAGATTACTCCTGGTATGCTTTTTAGTGATGTTTCCAAATCTGACAACATGTTAGAACGGACTATTGTTAAACTGAGTGAACTAAATGATCGAAAATGTTAGACAGTCTGTTCCATAAAACACAGTCGTAAAATGGCTTAGCAACAGAAATGTTGCTAGGTAGGCGGAAGTTCATTGGTCTCTCTAGACAACACTTCTTATCTAGGCTTCCCTAATAGGTGCCAGAGGTTCCCGTTTCATTCTTAAATTACTCTAAAGAAGAACTAGCTGTATCTGATAATGGAATTATCCAGATCACCAAAGTCCCTAAAACTGAGGTTTAGTCTACCAAAGAAGAGCATTTAACGACATCAGGTAGTCACATCACAACAAATTTACAATTAATGAATGTAAGATCCAAACTACGTTTGGACTGCTGGACAGCTGCCTGGATAAGTTAGATACGCGCCCTCGCCCGTTTGAAACCAAAACAAAGTAACTGGGTAAGATAGCGGTTCTATAATTTATCATAAATTCAAGTGTACATTATTACCTAAACAAATATAACCACTCAGCTATCCAACCAATAATTGTTCAATTGATCAAATCTAAATTACAATAAATAAGAAAGTTGATAAAGGATGCAAGAAAATTACCAATCACCACAAATAACTGTTATTCTATCCTGTCTGGATAGATCACGTACAGATTCGTTCAAAAGGTAATAATTGGTCGCTCTATAACACAGAGTGTTTTCAATTCTGGAATAGTGCCTCAATTCGCAACCAAAATGCACGATTCCAGTCAACACAGGTCAAGCAATCAAAAGCAGGAACAAATCAATATGGCTGCCGCCTAGACTTAGTATAAAGTAAAACAACATAAGTGCAGTTCGGGAAGAAACATGGAGACTCATTGAAGGCGTAATAAAAATAAGAACTATAATAAAATACAAATTATAACAACTCAAATGTAGTCCAAAAGTTAACAATGTACAACTAAGAGGATCAATAGGAACAAAGTACAAGTATATACATGGAGGGATTTTCACAAACACACAAAGCATTCAAAATGGATCTTACAATGAATGAGTTTATTATTCTGGTAGCATAGATAAATTCATTAATACCCACACAAACAATAATTATAAACATCTTCAAGTGTAATAACTTCGTCTTTTTCTATAACGTTTCTGTTTTCATCGTTTTTAAAGCTCCTCTAATCCCACACAGCCCTGATTTTTCATCAAAAATATGTCATACATGGTCTTTTTAAACTGCGTTCTCAACCGAGACGTTCATTACTTTTGCTATAGGTATTAAGTGAAAATCTGCGTAAATTTACCGTCCTATGCAATGTGGGAGGTACGGTTCAGGGAATCCTTTTGTCTCTATAAATACATTCTGTAAAATGTGATCGATAGACGAACTCATCAATAATTAATGGAAACGCACACCACCATAACAACTCCCTT